ACGTGTCTAAGCAGGCTAAGCAGGTGTAAACGGCCTACGTTCAATTTGGACACTTCACGTATTTCACCGAACATAATCGATTAGAAATTACAATTATATCTTTTTTAAAAATTGAATGTACGTACTTGATATAATTCAAATTACATATGTGGCTTTAGACCCATGTTCGTCTATTTTAAGGTTAAGCCCTTGCAATTTCTTATGAATATACATTTTTCAAAACATTCGGTAATCTTCGAGGGTACATGACAGTTGATTGTACTGGTAACACTTAATAACACTTCACCTATAATCTTCATCTCTTTACCAGTTCAATTTTATTCTATTGAAACAAAAGAGGACAGTTAGAATTATTGTAACAAAACTCTTGTGCCCTGGCAAAATACTTCATCAGCTTATATTTATGTTATAGTTGAGTAAGTATTTGAAGAAGTTATTTCTGATCTTTGACGAAAAAATGCTAGTCAAAGATAAACAAATAAATAAAAATATTTATTCTAACAGACCGTGCCGTTATGTCAGGAATATTTGAGAAGCCAGCTAAATATCTATTGGTTTATCTTTAAATTAGCGATAAAATCACAAGGTGAAGACGAGCTGTCGTATCAGTATTCACGTGATAACTATGGCACCGTTGTTTAGCGTCTGTCAGTTTGAGATAAGTAATATTGATATCTCATAATGCTCGCCAACAATTGTATAATACTAAGAACACCTATATATATATATAGTCTATATAATAAGATAGATAACAAAGTGTTATAAGTATGGTAAGTAAAATGTCATTATTCTGATTATACTCAACTTATATCAAAATTACTTTTCAACAAATTGATAGTGAAATTCTTAGTACAATCAAAGAGAAATAAGAAAATGTCAAGTGAGACTAACATAAACGTGAAAGTATTGCTGAAACAATTTGTATATAAAAAGTTATTGTTCATGGTAACTAACGTACGAAATGCCGGAGAGAGTTTTGACAAGGCAGGGGCGTTACTGTTTATCCTTTAATAAATTTTAGTTGTCAGGGGTTATTCATTGATCAATCGACACGAAGAAATTTTATTTGTAGAATTATATGTCATGTTTCATAATCGACAGATACGGTTTCACCGGGGTCTTTCCGACCCCACAAAAACAAATTAAATAGAGTTCGACTAAAAACACGACACCGTTATGTATGTACATCTCTCGTCGGATAAAACCCCCCATTAAACTTTCCATCAATGGTTTTGTAATTACAGTGTAATATTTTATATATATAAAAAAACAACTATTTGTTTCATTCGACTTCATTTACGTTTGAAATATTTACAGATCAAATATTCAGTTAAAGATTAAGATAAAGACCTCCCAGATATCTGTATTAACAATCACCATCATTGATGATTTTACCGGGAACAACGAGATATATTTGCATAATTGATATAGAAAAAAATATTGATCGCTGACATAATCAACCACTGTTGAATTTCTTTCTAGGACAAAACAAATCTTTTCCAACTCTTAGTCAAATTATATAGCTTTGCTTTAATAATTATACGTTGTTAATCCTGTGTGTAAATGTTTTAGGGTCAGTGTATCCTGTTTGTGGATGTGCCTATAGTTATTACAATATTGTACAGTGTGAATGTGTAGTTTGGAACGGGTTAGTCTGAACAATGCATAAAACAAGGCGCCTTAGTTATTATAAGCAGTTAGTGCTGTCGTGTACGAGGCAGGATATAGTTAGACCATACTGCACTGGAACACTTGATAACATTTATGATTTATTTAGAGAGTTTGCATACCTGAGATATCTGCTGTGCCTTTGTTAACCGATTGGACGCAGCCAACTCGTTCAATACTTTAAATTCCAGACTCCAGAAATACTAAAACGCTCATTTTTAAGAATTTCACTTATATAAATAAGTATATAGGTTAAAAACCTTATAACACACGGTACTAAAACTATTTACCAAGACTTAAAGTATTTTGTTGGAAAACCTGTTGTAAATTTTGATACGATTCTGTCAATACTGTGCCATCAGTTATAGAATATGTTTATTTCTGTTACAGTTAAACTATCGTTACTTTCACTGCCGTCATGTTTACTTATTCTTACTCCAGTGAAATCCGAGCCTCGCCTACCCCTGATTAACAGTGCTAGAATTTCATGCACCTGCCCACAGGGGTCATGTTTATGCTTTTTAACATTTCATAGCAATCATTGAAAACACTGTACTCAGCTTAAACGCGTGATTCAATGTATTTTTTCTATCGCTTTCTGATCATTAATTGCAGATGTGGGGGAGGTTGTGGGGTCATTAGAATAGTTTATTTAACTGTGCTTAATATCTACATACACCCAAAACAGTTCATTGAAATGTTTCTCTCCAAGATAGACTTTCCATATCTTACTAACACTGCCAGATAGGTTAATACAAGATGTCGAATTCCCTTCAGTTTGATACTCCAATGGCGCAGAATTAGTGTTGTAGGGTTAGCCCAGCTCATCCTCAGCACCATTCTAGTTCTATGACCAAACCGAGTACCATTATCATATTTTTGTGTCATAAGGAATATATGTATAGATTCCATGGGGGTTTAAACCGGTCTGGTGTTAAGAAATGTGTCAAAATTATAACTAGTTATATCTAGTTTCAACATCTGTGCTTTTGTTTTATCATGTGTTGGGTTCGGATTTAAAAAGAAACAAAACCACAAAAATTCAATACATTACAGTCTCTAGTCTACTATTATCTATATATATTTGGATTTATAAATAACTTTTCTTACAATAAATATACTTTAAATTGTTAACTGTAAAAAACAGAAGATCTGGTTTCCAGTTTACATCATATTTATTTCTACGAGAGAAAATAAATGTATTTAACAATCCACTTAATGCCATTTCTAATATTTCCTTAAATTTTCAATTTAAAAATTATTATTTATGACTTTCCAACATCAGTTTTCATTCAAGATGCCTTTTCGTGTACAAACTGTGATTTGATGGTATATTTGGACTAAAATCATATTCAAACTAATTAATCTATCGAAAATTTGCTTTAAATCCCTCTCAAAACATTGTATACTATAAGCGAGGAACTATCCCAAGCTTTAAAAAAATCTATTTCAAGAAGTCATGTTTGTCACGTGGCTTGGCGGTCGCGGAAACCAGCCAAGTCAGGGGAGAATACATTGCATATAATATAAGACGATGTTGTCTTTAATCGGTGTCCATTTACCATAAATATCGAAGCCTAAGTAAATTCTGGAATTATTCCCTGTCCAGCTCTTTTTTCGCAGTTTAATGCAAAGAGGTCAGACAATCTGCGCGTGCAACCTTTGACGCCAATCGAGCAGACGGCTCTAATCGTCGGTTTGACGATTAGTGACTCTCTCTCATTTTTGTCCTGTGCGTGCGTGCCCCATGGATGTTTTTCAGGGAATCCAGTATTTTTCTATTAAGATTGGGCGTCTTTACCAAAATTGCCATACTTTTAATGGAAATAATTAATCACCCGATAAATACTATTGTAGGAATGCAACTTTAATTTTAATTTGTTTCGTTGTTGTATGTTACCTCTGTTTACTGTACGCCAAGACAGTAGTTAAAAGAAATTTATGCTATTCGACCGGCTTAATTCAAGGGAGGTAACAAACTCTTAGCTTACATACGGTTGAAGACTTGTAATTCTCACTCCATGGACTTCAATGTTAAATAATCGATGATATTTGTTTTGAACATTCTGATCATCTTAATCTTTATAACCATAAACAGCCCACAATGATCTGATAACTATATTGAAGGGGGTTGATTGTTAAATCTGGTTTAAGCTGTGACCATATGTTTATTGGAGATTTCCCGCCAAACCTAACTGTTCGATTCCTGATCCTTTATCCTCAATATCATGAATATTAACCAAATCGTATAGATAATGTAAATTCGAACATTTTTCTTTGATTCTAGACCAAAATGTCAACAGAAATTGCCATTCAAAGTGGGGGGTAGGTGAGAATTTTTATAAATAGACAAACTATTTAAAAATGTGTAATAAATGAACAGCTATTTTGACGGACAATGTACATTGTATTTATCTTTTTTATTAAAAATTAAAGATTTGCATGATTTTGATTATTTTTTTTTAATGTCAGAGGTGACTGCTCTAGTTCTAAAAGATGGACATCTTCAATAGAAGGCTTGATGTCGCTTCAACTCTGTACAATACCAAGTCTAGCTAAAATATCTACCTGTGATAATCCAGTTGCAAAGTTCAAGGTTCATTCAAAGTTAAAGATACATTATGGGAGATTTTTATAGAGAGTTGGCCATTCTTGCTATAACAGTTCAAAAGTAGATGATGAAAGAAGAATATACTGAAAATTTCAGTCAAATTACTTTATTCTGAACATAGTTATCATCGTTGTAATATTTGACTAGAAATGGTAGTGAAATGTGCCTTCCCCTTTGCCGAACGTTTGATTGACAGGCGTTAACTCCACCTACATATATCGATTATCAAGTAAAGTTTTCAATGGCATGCGGAAACGCTCTACAGCGGCCTCGCTAAGTACACTCTATCAATTAGCCTCGATCTAACTGACGTATTCTCATCAGGGTGCGCCATATTTGAATTTATCAATAAGTGTAATCCTATTTAAATCCGAGCTGTAGCCGAGCCATCCGTGGGTCTAGAGAGTTGATTTTGGGCTTGTTGTTTATATAAAGATCTAATTTATGATTTCTATAACATCTGAAGCCTAAATTTTGCTCTTGCATAATGTATGTTTAAGGTTTCTGCGGTTGATTTGAGTGTGTTTGTGTCACAGCATCTAATTGGTCACTATTGTTCACATGTCTGCATTAAAGGGAGATAACGTAGCTATAGGTTCGGGAATTGCAGACCAGTTTAGCAACTTCTAGATGTTGTAAAACTTGCAGTCGTTGCTTCAGGAACATGGATGTTGGGATAAACCCACAAATGTCAGCTCCTTGTGAAATAACAAAACACACATTCCAAATTGATTGTTTTATTATTGCTCTTTATGAATATGATAAATAAATGTTTGGTGGAAATAAATAAATAAATTGTAATATAATTGTAAAGTGCTATTATTGTAATAAATCAAAATCTACAATTCATTAGAATATTTTTGCTTCTTTTCATAAAAAGATGAAACATTAATAACATGACATGAAATTAGAATATTGGAAATAAAAAGTTGCAATTTTTTTGATCTTTTAGATTTGTGAGATAAAATAACATATTTGGCACACAACAGTTTTGGCACAGTTCATAATAAATATATTTGGATAAGTCAAGGATTAATATATGAACTGTTTTCACCAGAGACATGATTTTCTCAATCTATAATAAACTATCTCTATTCTAAATATAAAACTATAAAATGCAATAATCTTTTTTTATGTTGAAAATAATACTGTAACATTTCTGTTAAATATATATATTGAAAAAAAAATCTATATACATACACTTGTTGAAAACACACATTAAAGTATATAATCATTACAATATATTTATATATATATATATTACATATGTATAATTAGTGATGATCAGATATAATATTCACAATTAATATTTTGAAATGTTGATTTAGCACTTTGGAGATTCAGATAGTTTGACTGACAGAAATACATACTAACAGAAATCAAAATCTATGGCATGGGCCTTATTTGTCTCCAAAGTTAAAGGACAAATTTGAATGGAATTTCAAATGTCCCAGTGGGATGTTAGCCACCTGGACATGAATTTTATGTTAATATTTGATATCCATCCCTTCCCACCCCACATCTCCTAAAAGATTGGAAAGGACCAGTTGGAATTGATCCTTTTGGTAAATTTGATTCCAAGCAAATGTTGAAAACATTTGCGGATTCATAAATTTTCCCCTTGGAATTTCAAGCACAAAATCAGAGTTATAATCCAATAAGTAATTGGTGTTAATAAAGCTTAACATTAAAGTTCTGAATCTGGAATTAATTATTGGTAAATTTAATTGATTACAACCAAATGATTGATACTAAATGATATATTTAAAGTAGATGATTTATTGAGATATGTGTTATATACTACCTTTAAGCACTAACTTCTAAGTTTAGCTGAGAATTGAATATAAATCAACTTCAACTAAACTATTACCACTTGAGACAGAGTGAGGGAAAAATATCAATACTGTAATCTATAACCAACAAATTTAACAAAGTTTTAACTCAGCTTTAGATAGTGATATATTACCTAAATAACTATCGACTATCGAATTGAACACACATCCAAACTACCAGGTAAAATATATCTATTACATGAATATACAATTAGCTATATTTTTGTTTAGTATGTTTTAACCATTTCAATTTGTGTGTGTTAAGTATGATATTTTTTGGAATAATAATTCCACACTCTGTGTGTTTAAAACTATATTAAGATACCTGTCCCTGTAAAACATGGGTGACAAAAACATCACCATTCCCATATAAGGGTTAAACATATAACTGATATGACAATTCATTCGTTGGATATTATTACTGTTTCAAAATCTATTTTAACAACTAAATACTACATAACAGTATTTATGCACCTGCCTTAAGTATAAAACTTATTTGCAAATATGTGGTACTATGAAAATTTAAATTAAGAAAAAAATAAGACAAAAGTTCCTGAATGAATGAGTATAAAATGTAATGTGGTTACCATGTTGGTTTTTGTTTCATTTGAACAGTGTGAGCAATAATTCCAAATTACATCCAGCTCATTTTTCTTTGATAATGCAAGTGCACACTTTTTATTTGATTGAGAAAAACATTTTGATTATAAGAATTATTAACTGAAAAATATCAACTCGCTTGTGTATTTATTTTCCAATCAAATAATGAGTATTTTTACATGTCTTGCCATAATTTATAATGGCTACAATAGTTCTAGATAATATAAATTGGGTGAGGCTAGGTGTTATGGGTTTGTTAGTGATATGTGCCCAACAACATCTCATATTACACTGATGCTAAAAAAAATACCCAATATTTCAAAACTTTTGAGCATTTTAAAATACAAATTCTACTCACTAGCAGAAAGCATATTCCTGAAGCAATTGTCACAAGCATTACCAGCTCATCAACCACTGCTACATCAGCCTGTCGATTATTTTCATTAGTCTACCAAATTTGCTTTCTAACTAATCAAAATTACAAGACAAGAAAAGTTCATGAAAAAAGTACCTATGAGCATACAGTATCACTAAAGTTAACCTCAATCAATGTTTTCTTCCTATTCACAATACAATACAACCAAAGAAACACAAAAATAAATATAAAGTAAAAAATACAAGTTTGATTTAAATAGGTGTGATACAGGGTTCACTATCACGTTCACAACCTTTTATTATCTGTAATAACAACTTTTACTATAGTTTCAAGCTACTATGTTTAAACTAATATTTAAAATGTTGTAATTTTGAATGAATCAGCTTGTATCACATGGATTAGCACCAATATAAATATGTTTGTAATGTTGTATTATGCATAGTTGAGTTTTTATTTACACTAAATGACCCCTCATACGAGGTTCAGTATGAACTCGTTGTGCTGCTTGCTGGGCATCTGACAAAGTTGGTGGGCCATTATAATGAGGATTTGAGACAATGTTTGGTGATAATGCATCAACTGTGCCTGTAAGATACAAAATCAAACATTTAAGACATTAGAAAGAGACTTGTAATTGAGTAGAGTTTTTCTAGCTAAAATACTGATTCTGAGTTCAGAACCCAACATTGGCAACAATCTCAGACCACCAATAATAAACATGTTTTAACCAGGCGTTCAATGAAACCTTATGTATGATGCACCACAAGAAGAAAAATCTGAAAAAATATTAATATTTTATAGAGAATATAATTTTTGATCCATAAAAGGACTGTCCATGGTAACTGAATGCTACATGGCAATGGTCAATGCAACCATGTTTATGTGCAATCTATTCAGGCATATTGCCTATAGCTTACAAAGACTTCAAACTTGTTTCCCTGCTTTATGACTATGTATATTTACCTGGTGGAGGTGCATAGCGTGGAGGTAGATCCTGAGGACCATAATTTCTGGCAGGAAGAGGGGGTAAGTTATCTCCTAGTCTGGTACTGGAAGTACGTACTGGAGGAGGGGGAGGTGTTCGCTCACATCTACTACTAGGACGGCTGGCTGGTCGATCAAACATATCTGTTACACTCTGTAAATATATTAATAGATATATACTACTTCTTACTACAGTAAAATTATTAGCCGTAATTTTACATCTAAACCACAAAATATTTAAAACACTGTAACAAGATTAAGATTTCCTCAACAATATAAATTAATGTATTTTTCACTCCAAAGACTACTATTATGATTTTTAATAAAAAAAAGTTCAATTTAGAATGTGGTTGTACTGTATGTAAAATAAGCTACCTTTGGTCTTGTATCTGTACCTGGACGGTAATAAGCATCCTGCATGCTACCTTTATGTGGTAATGCTACCTGATAAGGATCTGTAAGAATAATTTCCTGTATTATACTGAATAGAACTATGGCTGTTATATACCGCTTGTAATTGGTGAGGTTGAATTTCTCAATTATAATGACTTAATATTTTACAAAAACATTATTTGTCAATCTGCTATTAAACTTAAAGATACATTATGGGAGATTCGATAACGAGTTGGCAGTTCTCACTATAATAGGTAAAAACTAGATAATGTAAAGGCAATTTGCTGAAAATTTCATTCAAATTGATCCACTATGAACCGAGAACTAAGCGATTGAAATTTCCACCTAGCCTCGATCATCATTACTAAAGTCAGTACGATAAATAGCATTGTCTCGATTATCCATTTAATCGTTAAATCGTGAAGGAAAGTTATGCAGTATATCAGCTCATAATCCACTAAAGATCATTGGCTAGCGATGCCATCTAGAGTTGATTATGGTCTGGATAATTTAATTAATGTCTAATTAATAATTTAGATAACATTTCAGGCCTAAAGAAAGACCTGCACAATAGACAGATTTAGCTCTTGCATAATGTATGTTTAATAATTAAACATAACTATTATACTGTAATAAAATATGACAATATAAACAAACAGTATTATTGAATCAATATATTAACATGTTTAATAAGGCAGTTATAAAGAAATAAAGCTACCTTCTGTCCACTGTTGAGGATGACCATCATCATCTTCATCCTCCATTGTATGAGGTCGTGGACTAACTCTCATATAATCCTGGGCTCGACTCATATATGTAGAGCCTCGATTATCCAGGTTTGTTGATATATAGTCATTCTTATAATCAGGACCCATCTAAAAATATTAACACAGTATCATATAACACATTATCTTTAAGACTACTAATTTGAATGAAACTTTTCACTGTTTCAAATATTTTATAATTGGCTAGTACTCCACAAATTGACTATTTCAGTGTTTAGTAGAATTCATTCGGAGAGAGGAAAATAGGGTTTAACAACCTCTGCATTTTAGGATTAATATTTTTTTTATTTCAATAATGGTATTTAGAATTGGGAGAAAAATGGAGAAATCTCACTGAGTAAGACAGACAACACTACTTCTTTGTCACGTACAAATACAAGATTGAACATGTGATTGGCATAGGTAACAGACCTTATATTAGAACCAATCTCCCTGAACTCAGACGTTGAATATTTCTAGTTATAATGAATAAAGTATGATAGCACTTACATCATAATTAGGAGGATAATCATCATAAAAATCTTCTATGTTTTTATCACATGTACCACAACTCCGAACATCATCACTAGCTGATGGTGGATAGGTTACATTATCTATTTTATTCATACCATATAACTCTAATGTATTAGTATGACTTGTAGTATCACTACCATCTAAAATATAACAATATAACTTGTATAACAATACTACTTCAACAGGCAACAAGCCACAATAAAAGACAAATGTAGATTGTATATGATACTCTACCCACCACTCACCCACCAAAACAAAATTGGTTAAAAAATTATTTGATCCCAAGGCCAATGCAAACAATAGTTTGCCAGGCAACACTTGTTGATAACAGTTAAATCGTCAATGCTGGTTGTCACACTTGGATTATAAAATCAGCCTTTATAGTATTCAAAAAACTATATCTTACAATATACAATAGTTCAATTGCGTGCAGGAGAAGAAATTGGAGGACCCAGTGAACACCCATGCCATGTGGTTAGGCAGACAACCTACTCCTTGTCACATATAAGCCAGGGATAAAAACCAAACTGAATGACAGACCTTATGTATAAGATATACATAAATAAATAAACTAACCTTCTAATCTCTTTCTTCGTCTTCTAACAAAGAAGAGAATAAGACCAACATTTAATGTTAGTAGAAATACTCCAACAATACATACAACTAATATGATAATAATAGGTACTTCTTCAGCATTCTGTAATGTTGATGTTGATATATCTTCTGGTGGTGCTACACCTAGAAATAAAATATATACCATAACCAAACAAAACAATCTTATTTAGCTATAGTACTAGTAGCAACTCGACTCATGCATAAGGCTGGATATGCTTACAAGAGAGTGACAAAGCGAGAGACAGAGATACATATGGGGTTTAACATCCACTCAACAGAAACCAAACTAGGTTATTGCCCGTAAGTATCTTTAGCAGTGGGAGGAAACTGGATGATGACTGAAAGAAAACCCGAGGTTGGACAGGTGACCCTATTTATTGTGCCATTTATGTCAATTCAGAATGACAATCTGCCTAAAATTAAACGATGCTATCAGTCCATTCCTGTAGACATAACACGACAGACATCAAATTATTTGGACAAATATTTCATATTTCACTTAATATCTGTTGATAATCTACCAATGTAAATATACTTACTAGAAGTTTTAGCAGTAATACTACTATATTGGTATGTTTCACCAAGACTATTAAAAGCTGATACAGTTAGCTGATATTGATGACCTAGTTCAAGTCCTGAAATAATTAATTATATATAAAACACTCTTGTGGGAAATTTACTTAATTTACATTTGACAAATTATTCTACAAATTTATCTATACTTGTACTTATTGAAATCCCATGAGCACCAGTAAATATAATTCTATTCAAAGCATCTTGTTTATCACAGAACACAATTTAATTTGAAAAATTATTTATCAGATTTTGTTGAACTTTAGTAAAGTGATAAGCAAGGTGTCTAGAACAGTATCTTTTCTTTATTGTCCGTGAGCAACTGTTAAGATTTTAACTACTAAATTCACATCAAAAGAGGGAAACCAACAACTTTAAATAGACTAAACTTCTTTCATCTAAGTGAAAATAAAGTGTAGAATGGAGATAATATTTGTCATTTAAACTAGTGATGGGCCAAACTCATTCTGATCAAATTTTCAGACTAATCACAGACTAAATTTATGTTTAAATCATTGATGCTGTTTCGCCTGTATATTCTGGACATGTCCTATGTTCTTTTCCAAACGTTCGACCAGGAATATGCCCAATCGGACATCAAGATACCGTCTATGCACCTACTTAATTTGCCTTGATTGGCTGACTTAATCCAATCTTGAACAAAAGTCATTGCTTCTCCTTTGTCGGACTAATTATCAATCCAATAAAAGGATTATAAGCTTAACCTGGGTAATTACCTTGTGATTTCTCCAATGTCAGACATTGCCAGCAGCATATAGAAACTAGTCATAGATGTCACATATCCTAATAGTATATAACACCCTAAATCAATGGACAGTCATTATAACTTTCAAAATGCTTCGATTCTTATCTACTGCCTACTATTAGACCAAGAAAATGTGACGATGCTACATAGTCCCACCTGGCAACACACTTGCCATTACACACCATTTTCCATTGAACGAAAACAAAATATTTTGTACATATCCATACTTATTTTCCGTAATAAAACTACATCTTTCAAGACTCCATATAGAAATTCTTATCTACAGTGGCATGTTCCTGCGATCTTGATGTTACACGGAAATCATCGCATATCATGCATTGCTTACTACGAAACTTTTAATAGGGTTGATTTATGTCGCGTAATATATGTTACCGGTCACGTAGGCCAATAACAAACATGATAATTGTTGTATCCTTGCCATATCTGTGCCAATATCATATGTGGTTCTTATAATAAAGTAGTTTTATTTCCGGTCAGTTTGTGTTGTCATTCAAGCCCACATGGTGTAAATAGAAATCCATTGTGGCATCACATACTATTCTTATTTCGGACGTTATGATTTCATTTGCTGTCGTATAAACGAAAGCAGGTAATTTTGAGGGAATATTAAGGGTGTGAATTAGAAGCATGTACAGGTCAGCAAGTTTATTTCTGTCATATTATGAAAACACGTAATTTTGTAGGAATACTACTGACATAAATCTGAATACCATACGAGAATTAAATATGAAAATTAGCGAGGTACACCTATTTTTAATATGTACGAATTTGAATATTTTGTTGACACATGTATTTTAATTGTAATCTGAAACTGTCTGCTTAAATAACGATATGAGTCTCGCTCCTTTATTTTCAGTAAAAATGTCTGACAAGAAAAATTCTGAAATAACAACATTGGTTTAAACTAACAAGATGAAGTAGAGATCGTACCTGTAAGTGTAAATGTTGTAGCTGCTGGAGGTTGTACATCAACATAAATAAAACCTCGACTATCTACTTGTCTATATTTTACACGAAATGATGTTGGTAATCCACCATCAAATCCTGCCTTCCATTTTAATGTTATAGAATTATGTGTAGCATTAACAAACTCTATATCATATGGTGCATCTGGTGAACCTGAAATACAAAACAGTTGTAACTTTAACTGAATAAATATACTCAACTCAACTCTTCCGGAGTCAAGGGTTTATCATATACATTATACATTTGTTTTCACAATCAGATAGTGACATATTTGCAACTGGTTTTTCTTTCTTAAAAAATTCAAATTTTGTTGAATAATCTTTACTAATAAGTACACAGATACTTACTTGTGCCATCCAATTTGATTTCAAAATTATCAGTTCCTTTTTCATTGATAGCTATACACTGATATGGACCATAGTCTACCTTACGTACATCTTTAATTTGTAATATATTCTTATAATGAACATTGTCAATTTTTGTTGTGGTGATAGAATATTTATTATTTGATGTGTCCAAAACAACACCATTCTGAAAATAGATAAAGTCTTGATCACTGATAAGTTTTTTTTTAAATATACCATCAATAATAAGTTGATATAAGAGAACAATACTACATAAGTCTTAGCAAGATCACAGTAGAAAGACACTTTTAATATTCAAAGCTCAAGGTTTTCGCATCAGATGTGGTAAACTAGCACAGAAAGTAGCAAGCTGAATATATAACCACACATTTGTATCTTTGAACCTCGAAGTGAATGTTGAAACTCATTGTATGGTACACAAGACATTTTATCCTAGTTCTCCATAGTGCAAAGATTATTTGTTGAATCAATGATGTAAACTTTATATACCTTTTTCCATTGAAATGTGACTTTAGGTGCTCCCTCAGCTTTACATACTAATTGACCTGTTAAACCTTTATTACTAGCTGCTTTAGAAAGTTCACGTGACTTATCTATTTCAGGTGCATCTAAATATAAATAGAATTTAAACATTAAATATGAATTGTTTTGAAGTTATCCACCACTCCTTTTATCTAAGAAACATAAAGATGCAAGAGATGTTTAAACAAATGATTTTAATGCTATAGGATCCATTTATATGCTAATAAATGTTCTGGAAATGATCAGCCAAGTCTTTGCAGATCATCCATAGAAAATCTGACAATCTTGTGTTGAGAATCGTCTTATCAATAATGCACAGAACATTGGAAGTGGCCATCTATAAACACGGCTAGTTGTTTACTTCAATTATTGACATAACAATGACATTTGTACGTATTGTTCCAATGTAAAACCTGTTTCTATTATTAATACTTACATTTAACAGTAAGTTGAGCAGTTTTTGTTACTTCACTTCCAATTCTATTATCAGCAGTACATGTAAACTCCCCGGTATCAGCTTTATCTAGATTATACACTGTTAAATAACCTTTACCATTCTCATACGTCACCTTGGTTTTAGACATATCAAAGTTCTCTCTTGTCCATCTTACCATATTTGGTACTAAAGGATTGGCATCAGCTATACATTCAAAGAATGCTGTGCCGCCTTCATCTTCCATTACTGTATCTGTTATTCTAGTAATGGTTGGAGGATCTGAAAAATATATTTCAAATATATAAAGGGGTTTATCATCCTCGAAATATTCCCACCACCAGCAAACTATTCTAAGCTGGCTCCAAAATCAACGTCAATAAACCAAAAAACTAAATTTTTAGAAATCTGATAGAGAATTCTGTCCTGTGTAGAGTTTATGAGCCATAAAAATTAAAATGTAAAGGGAAACAAAATGTTCTGAATTTAGTTTATTTTTTTTTTTTAAAAATTTGATATTTGATACATAACTGTTGTTTTGAAACTCTATTCTGTGCTGACCCAAAGTATTTTATGGATAAAAGTATCTTCAAAAAAAAATAGTTTATTTACTTACATCTAACATTAATAGTAAAATTTAAAGTGGTTGTTCCTTCACTGTTTTTAGCTTCCATACTGTAGTTGCCTTTATCAGCTTTTTTAATGGTAGTAATATTAAGTACACCAAGAGCTAGATTAAATCTAGATACACTGGCTATATTAAGTTTAATACCCTCTCTATATAAAGTATAGGTAACTTCTGTAGGGTTAGCATTAACAGTATAGTTTAAACTTTTACTCTGATCTTCTATTATATCAACTTGTTCTAATGATGAAGAACTAAACACTGGTTTAACTGAAATAAAAACAAAACACAACATACTGATAAATTGTTACAGTAATTCTTACAGTAACTATCGGAAAACAATAGGAATCTTTGTCTTTGTGTTTAAATTTCAAACCAATCGGATGATAACTTTAGCCTCTAGATCGTTGATTAGATTTTTTAAATTTCACTTCTGATCAATAACTCAAATTCAACACAAAGTCTTTTGCCTTGACACTAGTAAAATGAAAGGCGTTTTTATCGACATGCTAAATCGATTTCAATTTAGTGGAGATGTCATGTGATAGTATAGTTGATTTCAAAGTACTTTGGCGAGTTCGTTAAATGTGCGGATTAGCTGTAAACAATTCTTGTGGCTGGACATAGATGAAGAAAACATGTGACCACCTGATTAAATCGACAAACCCCACCAGGAGGTGATTTGGCAATTTGGTGTAATAGCTTCAGAAATCAGCGTTGATAAATTCACTGATTAGGGTAATCAATTTGAATTAGATGGACGTTAAAGATGAAAATTCGATTGAGTGCAAATCACTTTGTCTAACCAGTGGTTGATAAAACGTCTGAAGTCTTGAGTGAAATCATTATATCAGAGGTATTGTTTCAAACAAACCGTTTTTGAGAATGAAATTTGTAGAATTATTGGTTCTAAACAACTCAGAATGTACAAAAATTACAGATAAAAAGAGGAAATATTTCAAAATCCTGATTTCAAGAGTAAACATTATAAGATTGTCGTGTAAATACTTACATAATACATTTAATGTAATACCATCATTGACTGATTGACTAATTAATGTATTAGTAGCACGACATCCATACAGAGCTCCATGATCTAACCAAGTTGGTACCAACTCCAGTACATTAACCGCAGACTTTCCACCAAATTCATCATCTCTTAAACCTTGACTTCTGCCAGCTATACGTCGGCCACTTTTAATCCAGACAATATCAGCATGTGGATTACTAGAAGCTGTGGTACAAGTTAAGTTCATAGTATTTCCAGCACGTATAACACTAGGCTGAGCTACGATAGTTACAGTTGATGGTGGAACTAGAAAAACAAGTTACTTGTTAATATACAAGCAATTTACTTTATTTCCTGTGTAATTCATGATACATTGGGATATTTTCTAGTGAAAGAAATGATCCAATTTAAAAATGTCTAAAATTAATTTCAATGCCCACAAAATATAAAATTTCTATATTTGCACTTAAAAGAGCAAGATAATTCAGGTTTTTCATTAGCTTTGCTAAGAACTAAAATATGTGTTAAGGTTTAAACTCTCAGCTAATCAAAATTCTGAATTCTTACAAAATTTTATTAATTAGGCCCTAGGTCAGTTCAGTACAAACCTATGTTATATTTCAATAAATTGCTTGCATTAAGGGTTATTTAGCAGTGGTAAGAAAAGTACCAAAGTGGTTTTAAAATTTGCATAGATGACAGACCCAATGATCTACATCGAGACAATTCCCAGATTTAAAACGACATTTTGTCCCTCAGATGCAATTTCAAACATCTAGTACATGAACATGATTAGCTGTTTATGTGCAATAAATTACTTACAATAAACAGTTATGGTAACACTGACATCTAAAGGTGAACTTGTAGCTTCATTACTAGCGGTACATTTATATGTAGCACCATTATCATTTTTCTTTGTTATAATAGATAATTGTGATGATACTATATTCCCTGTTACTTTATTCTCAGCTTCTAGTAGATTAGATTCTGTAAATGAAACAAAGATAATATACAATAGTCAATGACATGATACAGTGAGGTTGATGTCTTCTGTCTTAATCCAGATGACACTAATTATTCTATTGATTTGTTGGTTTAAACCAATATCTTATAGACACTAAATAAATACTAATACTAGCCTTTATACCATTTATCTCTTGGTCTATACCAATATCTTATAGACAATGAATAAATAAATAATAACACTAACCTTTATACCATTTAAGTGTAGCTACAGGATTTCCACCTGACGAAACACATCTCATTCTCTGTACTTGACCAGCTATAACTGGTGTACCAGCACTATAACCAGTTATAATAGGTGGGTCTGGTGGATCTATAATAGTAATAACAATGGTTATAATTCTAGATATGCTATACCAGCACTATAACCAGTTATAATATGTGGGTCTGGTCAATATATAATGATTATAATTCCAGATATTCTATACCAGCACTATAACCAGTTATAATATGTGGGTCTGGTGGATCTATAATAGTAATAACAATGGTTATAATTCTAGATACCCTACACCAGCATCATAACCATTAAAAACAAATAATTACAATTCACATAAATTGAACATTTTAATATCAACCTCTACGGACAAGGAATGTACCATTTAATGGACTGAAAAATACCTATACTTACATAAAACACTTAATGTGATGGTTGTAGCTACAGTCTGACCAAGAGCATTATTAGTTGCTTGACATGTATAAATAACATTATGATCTTGATTGGTTAGAGACACTGTTACTGTTGATCGAGTTATAAAACCTCCTTCTGGTGAATCTTCAACATTAGATGAAGCAACTGGTAATGATTGACCTTTAGCAAACCATGTGATAACAGCAGCAGGATTACTATTGGATGATACACAAGTCAAGGTAACTGTTTCACCAGCTTTAGCCAATTTATCACCAGTAATGGTAACTTCTTTTGGTGGAACTAAAAAAAAATCGAAAACACCTCATAAGCAGTGTAATTTTATTTTGGCTATGGCATTTTCTGATACTGGCAGTAGTAGAAAAATCCTAATTTCAATCGACTGATGAACAATACAGGAATATTACTGATGTGAACTTCAAGCCGGTACGTGAATTAAATATGGAAAATGTTTCGAAAGGTGTACCTATTTGTGTGGTTTTCATATACATTAGAATAGGACATTCTTCAAAACAACGTACGGGTACCAAAAATAATTTTTGATGGAAATATGGTTAGATGAAAGGGAATAGAAGCTTATAATTACCCTATTTCCTACTGGGACCTCATTTGACCCAATTCTGGCCGGTTCATTTCAAAACAGATTAAGAACCCAGGTTTTATGTATCTATCCCATGCAAACATCTATACCTGCATCGATACATCAGTAAATTGGCCTACAACCAAACCTTGTTACTTAAGATGGAAATTACTGGATACAAATCTTTTTAAGAGCTGATAATTGACATTAATATAATAGTATTTTACACTTACAGTGTACTGTTAATCTAAATTCAGCTGTGATTGGTCGGGATGTAACAACATTCGAAACATCACATCTATATACAGCATTATTATCTGATGATTGGACAGTGAATGTATATTCATTGACAGCCTTATTACCATCGCTAACATAGGAGAAATCTATCTGTTGATCATTTCTATACCACACAACTTGACCTAGAGGATTACCTCCCCTAGATGTACAGCGTAATTGTAAAGTATCGTTTGTTTTTACCACTTGACCATTAGTATAACCTGTTATTTCTGGACTTCCTGGTGGTTCTGTAAAATAGATGAATACTTATTATTTATTTATATCAATAAGCAATCCATTTTACAGCCTGCAACAATAATACTAATAAGCCAAGAATTATTTTTTTAAAGAGACATCTATATGTTTTTTCTCTTGTACACGCAAAAATAACAACTTTTGTTTCGAATTTGACTTTAACCATGAATTAGAAATAAACATTTCATTCCTAAAACAGTATACTTTCAAGGGGGCTTTCATATTTTCACACATCTATCGAAAGTTTATCATGAAATCAAAATGTACTCTCTTAATACGATTAAAATATCTCCCTTTAAATCTGGACTTTTTGAGGAAGAAATAGTTCTTTATCATACCACCTATCGTATGACCACAATACAATACATCATACAGGTAACACATAAAAACAAACTGGATAATCCTACTTGAAGAAACATTGTGTATTCTGGGTTTGAAAGAAATAAGATAAGACATAGACTTTCTATTGAAGAAACAATTCAACAGTAAATCCAAAAATAATAGAAAACACTCATTAATAAATTACACATTTGTCTTTTTATAAAGCATTAAGCAACTAAACTGCTTATTAATATTACTCTGCTTAACATGAGAAAACAGTCAAGTGGACAAACCCATCTTAATAGTCCCCAGCGTTCTCCAAAAGGCGGGAACAAAAAGGAAGGCTATATAATAGTCTCAGCACAGTTACTTTTATAGACAGTCCAATATGGAGAAGCAAGGATGTATATAAATGAAATGAAATGGGATTTAACATCCTACTGTTCTGCTCCAAACTGGGCTAATGAAGGCGGGCATACGCCATACAGTGTGCTATGAGGGAAATTTTGCCCAGACAGCGGCACTATGGCCTGCTCTTATATCGAATTCCAACTGTCAAGGGATCTTTAATGTGCATGCCAATATGTCCACGGGACCTCGGTTTTATATCCCATCCGAACGACTAGACAGCTGTCCTTGTCAGGCCCTCCGTCCTGCATCATGGACAAGTGGGAACCCCGCCGGAAAATCTGGATGAACTTTCTCTGCCAATGCCGGGATCGAACACCAGACCTCCAGGATAGCAAGCCAGTGTCTTACCTACTTAGCCACTGTGACCCTCAGTATATATATATAGAGTTATAACTCTGCTTCTGGTTGTCTGAATTATGTATAGAGACATTGTGTTCTTTGTACTAATTTTTCTATCAGATTTCTTTATACTTACTCAATATACTTATTTGAACAACTGTTTTTAATGGTCCTCCTACAATAGCACTGTTAGTAGCTTGACATGTATAGAAAGCATTATTCTCATCTGAAAACTGTCTTGGTCTAATCGTAATTGTACTTTTAGCTGTTCTATATTTACTGTCTTGATCGCTGTCTTCTGTTAAGTAATTGATATTTTGAAGGACTGGTTCACCATTTCTATACCATTTGATACTTGCTGCTGGACGACCATTTCTAGCGACACAGATGAGACGTAATAAATCTTGTGTATTGGGTAATTCAACAACAGAACCATTAGTGTAACCAATTATTTCTGGCATTTCAGGAGGTACTGTAATGATAGAAATTAATATTAATACATAATCTTTCTAGTATACATTTAAGAAATAAGACATAACAAACCAGTGATTTGTTTAACCATCTAATTTATTGATTATTCAGTTAAAAGCTGGTGTGTTTGCATTTATCTAATCCTTTCAGTTATTATTTTCTATATTTTGCTGGTAAGCAGAAACAAGCTCTTGTTAATTTGTAAAAGTCAGAATCACACTACTAAAAAAGCTCACACAGTTTGTACAAGATAAGGGATTTTGTAAATAAGGAGAGGTGCTTTGATTACAAGAATTAGGATGTACACTTTATAGCCAGGACTATATTCTACATTACACAGTGACATTTGAACATTTATCAATGATGAAAAAATAAAATATGGACATTATGAGGAGTGGTTTTCAACTGTAAGGGGCTTGAACAAAAACTATCCGCGATAGAGATTCATGTGCCTGAATCTGATGGTGCTCAATCTTCAGAACAATGACTGTCCTTTATTATTGAAGGGGACCATCTTGTAAGTATGGATGTGATTCTACAATCTAGATAATGGAGATAACATACTCTAGTGAAAAACTTTACTTTAGGTCACAAATAACACAAGACATAATAATAGAGTATTGTCTCAACTATTCAGACATCTAGTTTGAAATGCATTCTTTCTTTTGAAACAGATAACATTCAGGTCATTACAAGGTAATTATTGGTACTTTCATTGTTCTGTAGTTTAACATTTCAATGTTTATTCATCTGATAATAAACCATTTAGATAACTTGTAAACCGGATAAATTTTGAAGATATTGCAAAAATTGGTAATTAGCTTAAAATCTAATTTGAGCTCACCTAAAATAGTAAGATAAGCTCCAGCAGATATAGGTGGATTATTAGCTGCAGGTCCAACTTGACACTGAAATTCTCCATCATCACTAACCATTGTATTAATAATCATCAAATTAAATTCTCTATCTGTATTACCTATAACTGAGTATCTTCGGAAGCCAGGAATGTCTCTATCATAGCCTGAATAGTATAAACAGATTATCAATAAATCAAACACCATATCAAAACAAAATGATTATTCACATATTGATTGTAACAAATCAATAATCATAGTAAAATTCTATTAAAATTAGTAAGATCTAAAGTAGTATAAATACACAAATCATTAACACTGATTGACTCACTTCATGCAGTGTAGACAGTTGATGAAGTAATTTCAATAATTTATTTAACCTCTTCAAGTTCAATGAGTGAAATCAATATCTTAAAGGAGCATTAGCAGGTCTTGGCTAATTTTAGGTCCCAAGTGATTTAACTGCTTAGTTACATTCTGCATGTTCAAATTAAGATTGTATACAATTTGGGACAAATCTATTGTTGTTAACATATTTTTACATTTATCTGTCAATTTACAAGCCATGTTATTTTTTTCCTGGTTTTCAAAAAGATTAAGAAATGCTCGTACAAAATCAATTACTAAGGGTACTTCAGTGCTTGAATTTCCCGTAATTAGGGAGAGAGAGAGAGAAATGGGGTTTAACTCCACTTGATACAAACTAGGTCATTTCGGGACTAACATATGGTTTAATTTTATTTACATAATTCGCTTGCGCGTAGGGGTCTTTAGCAGTGGTAGGAAACCGGAGGACCCGGCGGAGAAAACCCACGAGGTTGGACAGGCGACCCTACTCCTTGCCACGTACAACCGGGGATTCGAACCACGCCAGTCGACTCAATGACAGACTTTATGATACAGCGCGCGCACGCTAACCATTCAGCCAGCCACCGCCACCCCCCCCCCCCCCCAACCACCCATAATTAGGAGGAGTGTAAAGTTGTGGGAGGGTGAGAGAAATGTGATTTAACATCATTTCAACACAAACCAGGTCATTTAGTGATATCTTTTTTTATATTATTTGCTACAAATGAACCTGCTTAATAATTAAATAGTTCAAATTCTATTACTTTAAACAAAAAAACTAATTATTCAATAGTAATTAGTACTGTATGTTTAGTCATGTTAATAGTCATATAAGATCACTCATTTTTACAATTATTCAATGTAAATAAAAGAAAATGTCACCTAGAGCAAAACCATCTTTAGTCCATTGTATAGATCCTCGTCTGTTTGTTACAGCACATTTTAATTCTGCTGTTTGACCCTGTATAACCGATATATTGCTTGGAAAAACACTAAACTGCTGTTGTCCATTGACTGAAAATGTAAACACAGAAATCAATATTAGATTTGAAGCCTCAGATCCATCAGGGTATAATTAAGGCTTACCATGCTTTTGTTCCACTGTTCAGTTTATCAATAATTAAAGCTTATATTGATGTTGACTTACAGGGCACAAAATTAAATTAAAGCTGTTTTAGAGTAGTACATGTATGTGTAGTTAAGCACATGCTACATGTATTTTGTGTTTTATTAAATTGTGTATAAATATAATTTAGCTTTATGAATGTGTATTATTAGATATAAATCATTGATAGAAGACATTCATTTATTTAAGATATGAATCTTAGTTTCTTTTAATCATACAACTAATTATTAAATGAGAGAGAGAGAGAGAGAGAGAGAGGGTTTAACAAGTCCACTCAACACAATCTAGGTCATTTTGGGACTAACATTTGGTTCAATTCACTTGAGCGTAGGGGTCTATAACAGTGGGTGGAAACCGGAGGACCCAGGGAAAACCCACGAGGTTGGACAGGCGACCCTACTCCTTGTCACGGGGAATCATTAAATGTAAGATTCGAGTAAACAACACACTTTAGTGAACAAGCACACTACTGTAGGTTATTAATTTTATGCATTCTCAAGAAGCCTGCAACTTGTCCGCTCTGTTTTATCTGTTTGCTAATATAAAGACTTTCTTGTGGCATTCACACAAGAGTCAATAAAAAGAAATGTACAAAATACTGTGTTGTAAACAAGGAATGATCATATTTCAGTTACCCTAGTGACAGGGAATGTCGCTACAGTTATGTTACAGTGCAATCCTATAACTTATAAGGCTCCATTTGAGATAACAAAAAATATGAATAATCATGGGACTACAGTACACTGCACATATTTTTCAAATTAAATTCATTAATATTTGCATCATCATTACACAGACAAAGGGGATTAACATAAGCTTCCCATAATAAGATGAATTTACACACCGGTACAAACTAGTCCAGGCACTAGTCATACTGCACGCAGCGACCCATCTACGTCATACTTCCCAGAATGAGACACTGCACTGATTATCCGCCATGTAAAACGTTCGTGTGATCATTTTGGGGCGGGACTTATCGACTCGAGACCGCTTTGTTTAGACAACAGAGTAAAAATAACCCACGCACGTGTGTTTTATGTAAACACGGCATGTCGCTGACACTCGCGTAAAAGCGATATATAATATGTGCTATGGGTAATATTGCAATAAATTCTTCACCATTGTAAACTGTCTTTAGAGTTTCAATCTGTTTATCTTTCAAAACAAGGTTAGATACTCCTAAATTTGTTTTCGCAAATAAAACCGCCTCTGTGAAATTATGTTTCATGGGCGCTGCCATATTGAATAATTAGAGGACTAATTTGTGATTCGGCTTTGATTAGTTTGACATTTTAAATACACACAGCGGCTAAATAAACATATTTAATTTCATTCAATATGACAATAGAAGAGAAATAAATACTTTTAAAAATTTCTAAACGCATACTCAGTGTTTTTGACTAAAATCGTCGATGTAGGAATTTAAATGTCGGTTAATTAGCTTAGGGCCTATTCTCAGCCGGAGCTAGCTGTAGATAGGCAGCCTAAGTTTGGGATGGGCACTAGTCAGAGGGTAGGCCTAAGAAGAGGTAAGTAAGATATTAATTATGCTCTTCGATCTTTTTTACAAACACTAAAACTGATAGTCTCTTGATCTCAGTTCAATTGTTGTTTTCAGATTGAGGAATAATAGTAGGGGAAATAGTAGTAAATAATCTCTTTTCACATTTTATATGTGAACGGAAAGGTTGGGATTGAACTTAATTGAAGTACTTCACATCAAATTATGCCATCAGATTACAGGTGGCACTATTAAATTCTGTTTTTCCATAGCTTTGTTATAGGGTTGAAATTGTCAAAGACAATTCCCACAAAAGGTCACGTTCAGAATTCTGCAGCTGACAAAAATATGTACTTGTAGATAAAATAACAAATTGGTTGAAGTATGTGAACACGGCATTAGCCTTCCAATTCCTGTTATTATCACTTTGTCAATTTTAATTTTTGACTCCACTTGGATTTAGCAATCAGCCAGCATTTTCATTTTAGATATGTGCAATCCGTAAAGTCTACCAGGATGGGCAGTTTTGACTACGGTACTTTTTAAACATAATGTTTCATCCTGATTTTCAGGTCATTTCACCCCCGGAACAAAATATAAAAACAGACTGGGTTGGTTAACGATATATAATTTTTAACATAAAATAGTAAAATACACTGAGATTGTGTACATTTACTCAGGACCTGATCTAAAGACATGATTCTTGATTGGTTGATATTAGGGGCCCAGTTCCCAATGACCAACTCCCGCTCAAGATAACAGCTAGTCTAACCATGAGCATTTTACATGTATAATGTTCAAATCTCTCTTTTCCAATAAGTAACATTTCATATTGTACCGTTCACATTTACCATTAATTTGATGAGATCAATTTCAGATTTATGACATTATAAGTTTAAAACACTGATTTGGCCACTAATTACTTCTATTCGGAAAGTTATTTATTTTTGTTGGCTTTGCATTATTACAACACAATCATAACTCAGAAAGCTATGATAATCCCAACAGTACCCTTCCATCACCTCCCCCCCACTCCCCCCCACCCCACATACACCCACACCCTATAGTAACATTGTTCAGTAAACCTTTGAAATTGTGAAAAAGTACACACGTGTTAATTAAGGAAACATTCAGAGAATAGTAATAGTATAAAACTACCCAGGAGCTGGTGGTTTAACGTCTGCTTACACAGCTACTATTACTATTACTATATTAGTGGTAGGTTTTGCCACTGCAGTCACGATACATATTGCAATTCAGGTAGGATACGATTTGTATCACGATTAATAACCAGGTCAATATTTAACAAGAAAACAACAGAATAAATATATAGGCCTAATTGATATTTTTAGTCCTGCCGATTGTCAGAGAAATAACTGAACATTTTATATCACGATATTGATGTGGATCAAAAAAAAAGATCAACAATTTAATTCAATATGCGAATCATGAGAAGTTGAATCACGATACATCGATTCAACCTTATATCGGGCCAGCACTAATAACTACTGCCACAGGGGGTTGACTGAGACAGAGAGAATGACCTGCTCCTTGTCTAGGCTTTACTAGTTTGATTGAGCTAAATGAATTAAGTTCTTTCTCGTAGTCATATACTATAAATTGTTAGCATAGCTATGGCCTGCAATATTTTTGTGCATATGTAGAGTAACATGAACTGGTAAATGTTATTTCCCGTTACAGAGAGACAACTTACCTCCCACTCCTATGTTGATGGCAATGGCTATGGTGCCAATGAAAATCGTGAAATAAACTTCTAACCATTGCTTCATACTGAATATTATATCCTCAAAATCAGTTTGATTTACATACTAGTACAATCTTCAAATTAACTTGGTGATATCTCCCCAGTCTTGATGATTGAAAGGCCTCATGAATAGACTCACACAATCATCAAAGAGGGCGTACATGTAGATCTACCGTTGTATGTTCACTTTCTTCACTCGGCGATACACTTGACTGGCTTTCTATGAAACTTTCACTCTGCCAGAATTCACCTGACGAACCCTAGTTTACGTTATAAACAAACGATTCTTGCTAACAGCATCTTCAGTAACACCACTAGCACAACATCGGAGACATTTTAAAGCTTCTAAAGGGTGATATTTAACAACAAACTTAGCAATAAATTGACAACTCAGAATCTTTGGATGATGTCCTTCGGTCGAGTGGATTTACCCTTATCACTAGGGTACGGAGTTCTACCCTACAGCAAAGGCATCACCTGCTTAATCTCGGGTCATATTCTTCAATGAAATGGGATTATTGAACCATATGAATATTGAAATCAATATCATATTTTAGACGCCCGTCGTGTATCAGTATAATACTAAAATAGTAGTGCGCGTTTAATATATTTAGCCGTTCTATTTTTCCATTCAAAATTCTAAGCTAAATTGCGTAGCGCCATTGCAGGTTCCCTGGATTCCAAAGTAGTCTGCGAGACTGGATAATCTAATCTACAATACGCATTCGTTAAAGGTGGGCGTGTCTAGCCTTATCTTGTTAATATATCGCATCTGAACTGTTAAAAGGAATGTCTTGTTTTTCATATTGTGTCTGCATTATTGTACAATAAGATTGTAGTATTTTTGAGAGAAAGATATGTGCGTGCATTTACTCAAGTCGGAATCGTTTTTTAATTCTTCCTGTAGGCTAAATAAATAATGATTAGCTTATGTTTGGAGGAAAAAGAATAGTGAATCTTGCGCTGTTTATTTTCCTACGTCTGACAGGTTCTATCATCTATGAGAGCTGACCTTGTAACCTATATCTGACCCGCAGTTCTTCATGAATAAAGGAAACGTTAGCCATTTGTCAATTGTTTGATGGCAAATGTGGAGAAATGCTTAAACTGCATACTAATGAACTAATATTGTACGACACGGAAACCTTGCAATTATTCCAAACTCATCCCATTTATTTTAGATTCCGGTATCTTAAAATATTTACAAAGAATATGTATTATGTATATTAATCAGGCGTTTTGCAAAATTTAATTAATATATAATAATAGGCCTACAAATACAAAATCTGGAGTTAATTCAATTTTAATGACCTACAAATGACATTGAGTGTTCTATTACTTGTATATATATGGGTGTATGTCATAGGTTTCTATAAATGTACCTACCTATAATAATCAATTTGTAATCAAATGGGTTCTAGGTTTCTATTCAACCTACAAATATTATTTACAATACAGTCTAGTCTGGTCATAAACACAAATTAGTAGCTAGATCTTACCTTTCAAATGGTTTTTGCTTTCAGATAATTGGAACAGTTATTTTAACTGGAGTAGGCTACAATTCAAATAGTAAAATCACAAGAGAGGGGTTTTACTATAAGCCTGTTCCCTAATCCCATTCAGACATCCAGAATAAAAATATTGTTTTAAAAAAAAGATCATAATAATTCTATATAGCTATGGTATCATTTAAACCCAAAAATTATTGAACTTGATCAAACCTCTTGCATGTAATATTTTATTATAAATTTATCTCTGTCCAAACTTATAGTCACTACTAAAGCATAATGATTGAAATGACAATATGGTTTGAAAGAAAGAAAGAGGTATTTTGAAATTCTGCAGTAGAATCTGCAGTAAGGTTGTTTAAACATCATTTTTTACTTCTAGTCCTAGGGAGACTATTTGGTATCCTCCAATAGTATATCCTGTTCAGATATTCCACTGCATGTCTGAGTTAGGCGTGGTGCAGGACAGTGATGGAATGGGACATATTAGCTTGCATGAAAAAGACCACTGGGAAATAAAGAGTAGGGTAGCAATGCTGTTCGAGCAAAATTTCACTCATAGCACACCTGGTGTATGCTCATCTTCATTAGTCTGGTTAGTGCACCAAAGAAGAACATTAAACCCCATTTCATTTCTGTCCATGTTAATTGGGAGTTGTTTCTGAAGTAAATTTTTTTAAAAATATTTATTTAAATTTATAATATCATTCATTATCTATTAGTTGTTGCTGATACCTAGTCTTAATTATAAAAAAAGTATCCTATTTCTAGAATTAATTAAGATAGGCATGACACTCATTATCAAGGCGGGGAAAGTTGTGCTTCATTAGTAATTAATTAAAGGAGAAGAATCCTAATAAGACTGATAAAGCATTATGACAAATTTGTATAGCATAGTACATGCATGATGATGCAAGGGGGAAAACTCTTTAAACTGTCAGAAAGTACAGCCAGTCTACCAGTATATTTAAACAATATTTTTCAGAGCGAGTCCCAGATCTTCTACAAATCTTCATAACTATTAAATTTATAATACATAATCACCAATCGTTTTTCTTTTACATACAGCATTATAATTCAGATTTGAACATGTGAAATCTTAATGGTTTTTAAAATGAAAATTAATGTCTTTAACAGGTAGAGTTTATTAGCAATCAGACCCATACCCATCCGCTAAGGACCATTAAATTCTATAAAGTATTTTCTATTTTCATAATTATTGATAATATATTTATTTATGCAACTTTTTTAAAAATAGAATATGCCATTTGAAGACATTATCTTGAAGAGATCAAGGATGACGTACGTCATTTGGTGAAGTTGACACACTACAGGTCACAATTGTTATCCGATTTTGACAAAACTTGAAATATAGGTTTATCTCCCAAAGGTCTCAATTTTTATTGAATTTTAAAAAACGTTCAAATATGACAGTTGAAATTGAATTTTGTTAAAATCGGACCGAAACTGCCCGACAAAATGGCAGCTCCTCATATGCAAGTACATTAAAAATAAGTAATACCAAGGTTGTGGACCCTCTAGAGGTCACAATTTTTATCCCATTCTGATAAAACCCAAAGACCTCAGTTCCTATTGATATTCGCACATATCAGACCGTTGTATGGAAAATCGCATCTTTAGCTTGGGGTATGCAAATAGTGTAAATGTATGTAATACAAAGGTTGTGGTCCCTCTAGAGGTCACAATTTTTTATCCGATTTTGATGAAACTTAAAATTATGTTTTCATATATCCCAAAGATTTTGGTTCATTTTGATTTGAAAGTTTCAATAATTCCTGGATTATGGGCTTGAATGTCCGAAAAATCACTTTTTTATAGCATGTACTCTGTCCATCTCTTGCAAAATGCGAGTGCATCCTGCTTGGCAACTGCTTGTTGGTACAATCAGGGGCCATAATCCAGGAAGTTACGATCCGATATGCACAATATCAAATGGAACCGAGATCTTTGGGATATACACATCAAAATCGGATAAAAATTGAGACCTCTAGAGGGTCCACAATTACATACTTTTACACTATTTGAGTACAAGGAGCAGTCATTTTTTCGGGCAGATTCAGTCCGATTTTCATAAAATCCGAATTTTAACCGTCATTAGGGTGTAACAGTGATGTATTTAAAATCTGATAAAAATTGTGACCGCTAAAACCCCCATTTTTATATGCCCGCATTTTCATATGGATGTATATTGTCATCGCTCCCTATCCGTCCGTCTGTCAGTGGGTCCAGAGGTCTGTGTGTTCATTCACTCTACTGTCACAATTTTAATCCTATTTTGACTAAACTTGAAATAAAGGTTTATCTCTCAAAGATCTTGTTTCCTTTCGATATTGGCATGTATCAGAGCATAACTTCATGTTCATGGATTACGCCCCCTGACTGTCGAAAAATCACGTTTTTTGCTTGTGGGCACTCTAGAGGTCACAATTTTCATCCGTTTTTGATAAAACTTAAAATGTATGTTTATATCCCAAAGATCTCGCTTCCTGTCGATATTTATGCATATCGGCCTGTAACTTCTTAGATTATGGCCCCTGATTTTACGAAAAATTACGTTTTTAGCCTGTGGTCTATCTAGAGGTCACAATTTTTATCCGATTTAAAAAAGTGTTCAAATATATCACTGTTACACCATAATGAGGGTTGAGTTAGAATTTCGTGAAAATCGGACTAAAAGTGCCGGATAAAGTGGTCGCTCGTACACAAATAGTCTAAGATAGGTTGCTAGGCAACAAAACATACACCCAGAGCAGCTAAATCATCTGAGCGGTCAACAAGTGTTGTAGGTAATAGGGGCTTTTACAAGACATTTTCATACAGATCAGATTATAATTCAAAATGAAATAAGGGCTTTAACTCTTGAAATAATTAACAGAAATTGTTGAAATACAATAGGCTTTCTTCATTTCATCAATTTAAATGATGCATATAAAGTGAAACCACGGCCGTAACACTAGAAGTAATTAACAGAAATTGCTGAAATTCAATAGGATTCTTAGAAACAAGGGCCATAACTCCAGAAATTAATGGAAATTATTGAAATTAAATAGGATTTTTCATCACTAGTGTAAACAACATATCAATTTCAAAACAATCAGATGATAAATGTTGTCTGTAGTGTGTTCACAAGAAATTGAGGACCACAGACGGACATACAGTTGAGAGGTTACTATGGGCAAATTTTGTACAAATGTTTCATAAGGGGATAACAGTGAAAATTCAAACGAGAGGGGCATGTTCCAAAATTAGCATTGTGGGGTTTAATCAATTATACTAGATTTTAATCTTTAAAATTAAATGTGAATCAAATAAAAATAATTTCTATAAAGTCATTAAAAGACACACTTAAAATATATGTTTATATTTCAGACCATAACTTCCTGGATTATGGCCCCTGATTGTACGAAAATTTGCATTTTTTTTTTAGCTTGTTCTCTATCCATCTCTTGCAAAATGTTGGCATATCTTGCATGGCAACTGCTGGTTAGTACCTTCAGGGGCCATAACCCTGTAAGTTATGGTCAGATATGTGCCAATATTGTCCCCACCCCTTTCTGGTTTCGTCACTGAAACACTCTTATCACAAAATATAATATGTTGCATTCAACCTGAGTTTCTGATATTTTAGTAACACAACAGTTAATTATTTGAATTTCTAGACAAGAAAGAAAACTTTCCTAAAAATACTTTTCCAAAAATGGTATTGTCTTTTATTTAAGTTCGGACAATATCGCTAACCTAAAAAACATTGGACTGAGTTTAAATGAATAATCTTTGAATAAACATAAAATAACCATAAAGAATAAATTGAATGATTTATTTTGGAAACGGCATATAAATAAAAATGCGTTTAACATATCACTTCTTCTAGTACAGTATAAAAAATATAGTCTTCACAGAAAAAATTCTTAAATTAATAGTAGTATATATTACGTGAAATATGACAACGACGTTGACATCATATATTTTCTCATCTACATAGGCTCTAGTGTACAACAGTACTATTAACAACGTCAACATGTCTTTTTAGTTTTTGTTTAGACAAATTGAAACATTTTATTATTCATAAAAATTCAATATTAAAGATGCATTATGTAAGAGCTAATTGCAGTTCTTAATTTTGGCTTAAAAAGTTATATAAACTATTATTTAGACATTTATTCACATGACATGCCTATAAATCACCTTTTTACAAGATTATCGGATTAAAACAATGTCACCATTTAATGATTTAATTTAAAAATGGCGAAGCAAAGCTAAGTCTCGAATAACAAGTACTGTTGTTACGATAATAAACAATCTATGCCACATCTTGTCAAAACTTAAAATGGTAATACATTCACTCAGAAAAATGTAATTTGACCGAAATTTTCAATTTATTCATTTTGCATTATCTAGGACATAGAGACATCTTTTAGTAGCATTTTAATACCTTGGAACTTCCTTCTACAATAATTTTAATAACAAAATCAAGGCTTACTAAGCTCATATAGTCGGGATAGCATTAAAAAGATAAGTCTAGACTGGATAGCCTGCACTAATAAGGCATAATAAACTTTCCTACACAACATATCAATGGCAATAGTCATTAAATTTGTGGTGTAGTCTGAAGAAATGGAATGGGCATTGAGGTTGCCATTGACAGAAAGATCCAAGGCATTGAGTGTACTAACAATTTGTTGGGGGGACCATGGCTAGAAAGCAACATATCAAATGCGTAGAATAAGTTTGTTTCTAAATAACAAAAATCTAAGTTTAACAAATGACGTCTAAAAGAACAATGTTTAAATGAAACAAGAGTACTAAGATAATACTAGGTGATTTCAATAAACATATTTATAATAATAATAAACATATCTATACCGACTGAGATACATGTCATTAAACCAGAGAATGGATGTCACTTTCATGGAATTGTTGGTTTTGAATACCGGTAGATGAATACTATAATCACATGAAAAAGTTCTATGGAAGTGACCTCCTGTGCCTCTAAAAAATTAAATCTTTGATACAAGCAGCAATATACACAACTCTATAAAACGGAGAATTTCACAGCAATGAAAACCACTATCTAACAATTTCAATATAAATAATATTTACAATATTTAATAACTTTATACATTAGGATGGATATAGCAATTATCATTATATTTACATCCTTTTTCTTGTATTCCCCTGAATTGACAAAAGTTACAACAAAAATCATTTCTAATAAAATAAAGAAGACATAACTTTTGATTAGCCCTAGTCACCATTCAGGAATACAGCTATTTCAAAGAATGAAGCTCTCTTTTCAGTTTATTAACATTATTTCACCATTGAAACTTTAAAAGAAATTTTCAAAAAATCTAGCATGGTTTTATCACATTTTTGAAAAGAGCTCTTCACAGTTTTACAAGGTAAATGATTAGTCTTCACAAACACAAAGTTGTACACAAATTTTCTTTAATGAAATACATATTTTCACATATTTTTGCCAAAATATAATTCTTATTGAAAGTTAGTTTCCTTGTATTTGTCCATATATTACAAAATATTTAATCAAGGTATTAATGTATGTTCAAACACAATGCATTGCCGAGATCATTAAGAGATGTACACTTGACAACAAATTACTTAGGAATTTAAGTATGGTACATGTACATGTATATACAAAATGGATGCCAACTAGAATTAATGCATATTTCAATGATGGGAATGCTGAAATTTCTTACAACATTTAAAATTAACAATTATTATTGCTTATTATTAATATTACCCCCTTTAAAAAAAAAAGGCAAGAAAATGTGGTGACTTGATCCTTTTTAATAACTTGCTAATATTGTTTTGACAATGTTTTTAGACTGTCCCTCATTAAAAAGCTTTCAATTATACTTGTTTAGACTCTCTCTCATAAAATAACTTTATACCGGTAATAGTTTTCAGACTGCACCTCACTATTGTTTTAGACTGTCACACAATAATAATAATCATCTTTATATAGCATAACCTTCATGTTATTCAATAAACCTGCTTGAAGCACATAAAATCAATTAACTTTACAAAACGGAGACAGATATAATGTTGTGATAGACTCAATATTAATCTTGATTTCTTAAAAAGAAAACATATTTTTACTAGCATTGTATTTAATTGTCTAGTGTATAGTATACTATTTACTTTGAGGTAAAGGAATAACAAGAATGTTAGGACTTCAAAGAGTTAAGAAGAATTTTTAAATTAAAATATTTTGAATAAGGATCTAGCTAGAGTTTTAGATTAAGATTTTAGATGATATAGTTGATAATCCTGGTTTATACTAAATATTTGTAATATGCTAATTAAATGTATTGTGCTTGGTTTTGTTATTAAATCCGAGTTAACTCTTTAGCACATGGTACAGGTAAATATTGACTACCTAGTGATATATTTCATACTAGTTTATCCTCAAACTGAGTCAAACTAATAGTCATGGGAATGACTATTCACTATCACTAAACAGCTTTCCACATTGGGTCAGCATAAGGAGCACTAGTTTCGAGTAGTCCAAATGCTAAAGGGTTACGTATAGTTACCAAACCAAATCAGCAGTAAATTTAAAGTCTTTACTGATGTATGCTTTTACAAATTTGAAATAAGCAGTTTCAGTATCAATGCACAATATAAAATATAAAAGTTATGTTCAAGTTGACCATAGTTAGTGTACCCCACCATAAATATCTCAAGATATATCATATATTATATAACAAACCTTAACTAGTTTTCCCCATTTATGATCACTAAATAAACAGTGCAAAATAGGTTTCATGTTTAGGGTTTGAAATCAGTCGTGTTAATCCAGTCTATTGACTTTTCTCTGGCTTTTTGACAGACCTGTATAATCAAGACTATTTTATATGAAACATTACAGAGAAATCACTTGAGAAATCGTTATTTGAACATCTACGTGAACATTTGCAGAAGTATTTTCAACTTTTAATAGTGCAAATTCTGTGTGGGGCACCCTACCATAGTATATGCATTTTTAATATAAATCAATATTGTATCTAATAAATTTTGGAAATAACAACAATCAATAGATTTTGATCAGATTTGTCTACTTGTAACAATATCTAACTATTTGGCTTCTCTTTAAGTCATTGTAAAGCTTTGTTTTCACATCCGTCACTGCTATCACCTGAAAATGTATTAAAGACACAAGGTCAACAAAAATTCTACTATGTATTTGCATTAAACATATTTCAACTTGAAACAGTTAAAATTAACTTTGGCCACCTGTATTCTTCAAATTGATCATGGTGCACAATATATTCTTCAAGTCAATTAAAATGAAAAAGAAAGATTACAACACATAGCCACAGCTTTCCATTTACTGTAATACATTTTGGAATGAGAGCAATTTTTTTCATTGATTTTTCATTGATTTTTGCGCTTCGCTCCCACAGGAGTAATTTCAAATCTAAGTAGAGGAATTTTAGACATAAGAGAAACTCGAAAGTAAGAAAGAATATTAGGGATTAATTCAAATAAAAGATTAATGATCCAATGAAATAAGGAATTCTTTTTGCATTTGATTGCCATTAATAAAGAATTTAGTTACATAAATCATTTCAATAACTATCACAGTAAAAGTACAATGGTGAAAAATTTACTGGATCACAATTCAAAATAAGGGGGAAATGGAGAAAAGCTAGAATATATCTTTTTATGATGCAATATCAATGGCTGAATAAAAGCTGAGTAAAATGAAATGTAAGAATAAAGGGTCTTATTCAGTTCTATATAGGACAACTATTTATTGGTCGATAAAATTTAATTAAATTTGTTTTGGATATAGAGAACTTAAAGTCTCTGAACATTATTTGTGAAATTTTTTAAGGGATTGTGAAAGTTGAATATGTAAATTCTGCTAAAACTAAAAATCATTTATTCACCTTACTTACCTGGTTCATTGCCTTCTTCCATCCATCTTTGTCTATCCCCCAATAAGGTATCAGAATCGATGTCAATATTACGAGTAGGAAAGTTTATTCCATCCCCAACACTGAAAAAAAAAAAGAACAAAAATAGGATAAGTTTACTTCATAATGAGAAACATGTATATATTATAAATATGAATCAATTTCATAGTCTTCTTGAATTTAATAAGTTACAATTCATTCAGAATCAATTCATATTCAATGAAAACAGCTGTTCTGTGCTTTATTATTAACAGCTTAGCATAATCATAATACAATGCAGCCAAGTTGAACCAAAATACATAAATAAAACAAATATACGACATGCAAATACTCTCAGGGATAATAAATTATGAAATAAATAGTGAAGTGGTTAAAGAAAAGCTATTGTTACATTCATGCCAAAAACAGATTTTGACACTAAGATATATGTAAATAGGAAAGTTTCTAAAGTGGGCAAAGGAAACTTTGTAATATTTTCCTCATTAGTGACATTTTTTCACAATTATACTGCAACTAAGCTTATTGACTTTACAAGAAAGTCTCCCCAACAATTTTTACACTTAATATCATATTTTACACAGGGGGTCAAAATAATGAGATCAAAATTCCATGAGCTGTAATATAAATAAATTGTATATTTGTACAAATCAGATTTACGTAAGTTGTTAGTTGTCTGAGAATGTGTTTGACATATACTTGTATTTACTTTATAAGAGGATTTAACACTAAGAGAGAATCAGCTTTTTATTACAACATATAGATGGTAAACATTAAAATCATGTGAGCTGGTGTCTCCTTCAATAAACTATGGAATAATAGTGAAAATATGACCTGTTGTGAATAGTATGCTCTAGTAGATTAGAAAGAGATAATCTATTATTGCAAATAAAGAAACTAAATTCAAAGGAGTAGAATAAAAGAGAAAGTATCTTATTATCATGCTTACTAAATAAATACACATCAAATTTAGTTGGAAATAATAAGTATTTGAAAATATAGAACATAAAATGTTTGTTAAAATTCAAAACATAATTTTTGAAATGCAACCCACTACCACATATTAGTACACATAATATTCTGGTAGATGAAAGCCTAATTCTAAATCATAAAATGTCATCCCATAAATTTGGTGAAAAATCAATAGTAATTTTGGGTGCATCATGTATCTAAATCAAAAACCCCACAAGTTAAAAATATTAGCTACATTAAACAAACCATACTCTAGAAATGAATGAAAATAGAAAATATAGTTTGTCTGACCTGGGAGGATTAGTGCTGCCCATTGTCTGATAGCCAACCATGGGTGGATGTCGAGTTGGATAAGAGACCCCATCACCTATACTGCAAGGGGGCAGAAGTGGAAATTTATATTATTATATTTTTGAGTAGAAAATTACAAAATGAAAACAATATGCTATTAATATGGTACAATATATCTTAAAATAATATAACTGTCATCTTTCTACTAGTATTTTAATTTCTATTTCGGTACCTCAAATCAAATATTTCACAACAAGCCGCAAAATTAACACTGCTTTCAATCAAATAAAGGTAAAACAGCTATACTGCTTGGCGGTATACAGCTGTCACCAACACTAAGCCATAAATTATTTGTCATAATAATAAACAAATTTAACAATGCCCAGCAATTAAATGTTTACTGATATCCTGACTCAGTCTTATTGCTCACTGGCATTCTAAGAACTTCAGATTTCTACATTTTGGGTGAACTTCTAATAACACATAAATGTGTATGACCAGTTATTTTTTATGGTTTGTGGAATTCAAGAGAGAGAGAGAGCAATGGGGGCTTAACATCCACTAGACACAAACTAGGTCATTTTGTGACTAACACATGGTTCAATTTTATTTCAATAATTTACTTCCGCGTTGTGGTCTTTAGCAGTGGGAGGAAACCGAAGGGCCCAGAGAAAACCCATGAGGTTGGACAGGTGACCCTACTCCTTGTCACATACAACCGGGGTATTGAAACCACGCCGGTTGACTCAATGACAGACCTTATGATACAGCACGCACGTGCTAACCATTCGGCCATCCAACCCTCCCTTTGTGGAATTCAAACAATGGTGTAAGATTTGTATGTTGGTACACCAAAAAAAATGCTGGTGTATGTAATATTGCTGCCATGTTGTATGATGTATTCTAACTATATCATATAAGATGGTGGGCAGATTTCATAACAATATCATATTCCCAAACCATCACTTCAGTTGAATAGTAGTAACAAGTGTCACATTGTTGTTTATTATAATTTTCATTTCCAATATATTAATTATATTTTATTTACAATAAGAATATTTACAAATAAAGGAGATGCAAAAATGTAAAAAAAAAAACATAAAAAAAAGTTTGTATTCTTTCGACCGTTTTTTTTATAAATTATAGCTATGGGTAGCCTACGATTGGATGCTATTCATTTACCCTTGCAAACTTTGAGTTCTCATTCAAGCGTATGCCTTCTTGAAAATGCATTTTACAATACAAGAATACTAAATTAAACTATAAAACATAGTACTATGTCAAAAAGTTCCTATTTATTTAGTCAAATAGCGATTTTTCAGATCACGGACTGTCATGACACTTCCGATGCTGAATGATAATCAGTCTACCGGTTCTCACAAAATAGTTGGCATTATTTATATTTCTGCTTTATTAAAATTTATTTCAATCAGAAAATCAATGATTCCTTTGGAAAATCAAAGTGTTGGTATAAACAAGTCGTCAAGATCCATAGAAATTGAACATAAGCAGGGACAATTCTTACGGTATCGGTCAGGTGGAAAAGTGAGTGAGAAGTCACTTGACATAAACAAAGCTCTTTAACAGCAAATTTTGTAGAATGAACACTCAGGGGTTTATAAATAACAGTATTTATTTATTAAGCAATAAAATATCGGAAAAAACATACAAGGGAAGACATTTTTTCAATATTTATGTAAAATATCATTTAGAATAATCAAAACCGTGCTATATTGCGTTATGTTCGGTTTCTCAATATTTTTCTGAAGATGGTATTTTTAACGGTTTTTATTTCTGTGACAGTTTTATATCCAAAAAGTGAAATTTCGCCCAGTTCTATTCACAAGAATACATTACAATACAACCTTCTAAAACATTAAAATTACAATTAAAACAATGAAACAAAACTTAGCATGTAAGTTGTAACAAATACAATAATTACTAGCAAACAAATAATTTAACAAAATACAAGTAAACTAAGCACTGCTAATAAGTAGAGTAGGGAAAGTTTTGGGAGACACCATAAAGCTTTAAATAGCAACATCAATAAGCACCGAACTGCTGTGTTTAACAAGTGCACTTTAGATCATTAAGGTCTGTTATTAGGTCAAGTGGCGTGGTTTCAATTCCCCACCTGTATCTGACAATAAGGGTCATTTGTCCAACCTTGTTGGTTTTCTCCTGGTCATCCGCTACCTGAGTACCTCACACTGCTAAAGACCCCAACATGCAAGTGATTTATTGGAATAAAATTGAACCGGAATGACCTAGTTTGTGTCAAGTGGACATTCCACCACATTTCTCTCTATGAACTGCTGTACTATAGCTCATCTTGATTTTAAAATCAATTCGTCCAGAAATAGTTCACAGAAAAGAAGTCTCCGAGAAACTCTCTAATTGTAATTAACAAAATGCCCTTTCTATTTCCTTTCCATTCATTTTTCTACAAACTGATACCAAACTTATAAATTATGACAATAAAGTAGATTCATAGAAACTCATTCCTTTCAATTATTACAACAGACATTGACAAGCTGAGGGAAGTGTCCATATTGAAATCTTTTAAATATCAGAGCAGAGGAGCAGTACAAAGATGAAACTTGCATGGTTTGAGTTTCCAGGGAAGAGAGTAAGTGAAATAGTAAAATCAAGTTTTTCCATGATAAAAATAACACAATATCTACTCACCTAGAAAATACAGGTAAAAACCATTTTTTAGGGTCGTCACCAAAAACTTCTTTAAAATTACCTTTAGTACCCAAACTAAAACCATCTTTATCTGCTCCGGATTGGAAGATTGGTGGCCTAAAAGATTCTGAATAAATAATAGAATTAATTAGTTTTAAAATGATGAAAGTAATAGTCCCTTTCTAATTATTGATTCCAGTCATAGGTTTCATTTAAGATAAATACATATCAACCTCAAATGTAACTCTGCTGCTAACAAAATCTGTTTCATTTCCTTTTCATTGCTTTCCAGGGATTCTAGCAGATGTCTACCCCCAAAATATAGAATGTATTTTGCACAGTACCAAAAGACTACAATATGAGTTGCATCATAAGAGAATAAAGATTAGATGCGTGTGTGATTATCTTCTTATATACTAATATTTGTGACTGTCGTTTGTCTGTCTGTTTGTTTGTTTGTCTGTCTGTTCGGGGTTGGCGGCTACACTAGGTCTGCCCCGAGTCTGAAATTTGGGGAAAAGGGGTAGCTCGGACCGGAGAGTAACAAAGGCCAGGTGGCGTTAGTCTACCACTTCCGGTTTTGGGTTTTGACCCACGAGCGAAGCCGGGCATTCTTCTAGTCAACTGATAAAAGTGAAAGAGAAATGGGGTTTAATGTCCACTCGACACAAACTAGGTCATTTCGAGACTAACATATGGTTCAATTATATCTTAATAATTTGCTTGCGTGTAGGGGGCTTTAGTAGTGGGAGGAACCAGAAGACCTGAAGAAATCAGGGACACGAAAACCACGCCAGTTGACTCAATAACAAAATATTAGCGATTTAGCTCCTTTAAAGACCATATACCACTCTTGTTGTAACTGAATAATATGTCCCAATCTTTATTCTGGTCAACAAATTGCACTATTTTACAATATTCCAATTAATTGATGATACAAATTTCATCTTCACACACAATTTAAAAAATTGGAAAAATTCAACTAAATGATTTGAAAAGCCTGACGTAAAGCTTTTCAAAAGTGACTTGGATTTAAAAATATTTTTGAACCCTTTGGACAAGTAAAATAAGATTTAATGGATAATTTACACAACAGGTAGGCCACTAACACATCTAGTACTTAGAATAAGGCTATTTTTTATTTTCTGGAGCTGTCAAGCCAGCAAGAGTGGTTTTGTCCCTTTAAATATGTGACCCAACATATGAATAATGAAGACAAAAATACTGTTTGTTATGACTTACCTAATGTTGACCTATTGTGAAGTGTTAGAAATATATGATAGCCAAACAGTGAAATAAGACTAATACCGAACATTATGGCAACAAAAAACAAAAATAATATATGAAATCTGCCCATTCCACCTTCAGCACCATTCTGAAAAAAAAATAAAGAAATTGAATGGATAAAATAAAAAAATATGTCATTCAAAGTCTGGAGTAAGTTGAAAAAGCCCTGTCAGTATTTAGTAGTATTTCCCTTACAAAAAAAAAATACCTGAAAATTTTGATAGAACTTGTTCAAAGAAAGACATAATAACAGTGATGAGATTTTCCACGTATATTCCGGACTTGTCCGAATATTTTTTTGAAACGCCCAAAATTGTCCGACCGGGAATATGCCCAATCGGACATCAAGACATGGTGAATAATATTCAAATTCCAAAATTAATATAGTGTACTGAGTGTATAACTACCGTGCAACCCGATTATCGTTGATAATAGGCTGGATTGATTAGGTAATTAAGTGATCGACTATTTATCGTGTTATGTCGTCTACACACCTACCTTGATTAACTACTATTCTGCCTTGATTGGCTGACTTAATCTATTGTCGGACAATTCATCAAATCAATCCTGAACAGATGTCATTGCTTTTCCTTTGTCAGACGATATATCAATCCAATAAGAGTGATTATAAACTTAATCTGATTAACCCGTTATTTGTCTATTGTCTCATATTTTAATCTCCTTTGTGTCGGACAATAACACGTAGAAATTAGTCATATATGTCACATATCCTGATAGTATATAACACCTCAAATCAACATACATTGTATCCGATAACTTGTCTGTGATATATTTTCGGTGGAAGCCGAAGTTAAATAAAGATATTTCATACACACGCATATGGCGCTATAGTTCAGTAATTAAAATGAAAGTACAAATCTCGCGAGACACGTGAAATTAAGAAGTGTATACGTGCCGAATCCAATACGACTGATGTCCGGGAAAAGATTCTATTTTGATGGCATATTGTCGGATTTATGATCATATTTTGAATGGGGTTTATGTCTTTAAATAAATAAATAAATAAACACGCTAAGAAATGTTGAGGAATATTTCGATTGGAATGACGTAAGTAGTTAATTGTTTTAGACGATAGCGCGTGCTACAGTCGAATGCAATTATTTAGCAGTTGGTGTCGCACGCTCGTTGTATTAGAGCATCGTTAACTACGGTTTACGGCCAAATAAATTTTTTTACCTTCCGTATATAAATCGAAACGGAGTATCAGACGAATGTCGGACTTTGCTGAAAAATGTACCGACGTATGACCCGAAAAATACGGTAATTTTGGGGGAGTTTGAAACAGATCGGCAGCAGTCGACACGCTGCCATTCTATAGTATTGATGTCATAAATGACATAAATTTGAATACCGTACGGGTTTTAAACATGAAATATAACGAGGTGCACCTATTTTTTTTTACATATGAATTTGAACATATTTTGTTAACACGTGATTCTTTATTGTGTTTTGAAAACGTCTGCTTAAATTACGATAAGAGTTATGCCCCTTTATTTTTGGAAAAATGTCCGACAATAATTTTTTTGAAATCCCATCACTGCATAATAACCTTTCTAAAATACAGAGCAGAGAGTTTAGTAACACTGCTTAGCCATTACTAGACTACGATGTCTCTGTGTTGTCAAAGTTTTTCTTTTTTTCATTTGAAAAGTAGACAAATCCAAGAACAGTTGTAATTTGCCAAGCTTTGATTATGCTAACTATATTCCTTCTTGTGAGACAAATACACACCACTTGGATGTTACAGATCAACAACAGACCAACCAAGACAAATTTGAACTTTTATAAGCTTATGTTTATAAACAGACACACACGTTTTATCACCAAGTTGATTCAAATGTAATATTCTATCTCCAATATATCATGGGTAATAACTCCTGCAACAGTTAAAAACAATAAAAATGTATACAAAATATAATTACCGTCCAAAAGAGAATAAAATACTTCAGTGTTGATAAAGCAATATAAATACAATATAATAAGCCATAGCCTAAAAACTGCACAAAAAACTTGTAATTGGTAAAACCAACACAATTATTTACCCTGTAAGATAAAACAGAAAATAACAGCTAATATATTTTTCATGGTCAACATCTGAATAATTATTACTAGATAATTACAGTCATTAGTAGAGAATAAAATCTAGTCATATCTTATTATTAGTTATAAAACATATAATAGTACAATGACCATGAATAACAGTTGCATAATACTTTCATAGGTTATTAACCACACAGGTTTTCAGTGCATATCTTCTTCTGGAAATGTGTAACTGCAAAGGGTATTGTTTGCTCTATCTGTTTTTTGTTGATCAGTTCTCTTTCACTGTCTCATTTAATATAAATTCTTCATATAAAATGATACTGAAAACTAATTGTACAACTATGTAGATAGATTAGATGATAAATTCTACGAACTTGATATAAATACAGTAACTTACCATGGACAATGATGGTCCATTTTTTGAACACACCTATAAAAAAAATATGATACACAATGTTAATACAATGTTCACCAAAAATAATCACATTCTGACATATATCTTTAAATGAGTCTATGTGTATTGTGTGTAGAGATTGTGTATAGAGATGTAAGGTATATTGTGTATAGAGATGTGTGATATAAGGTATATTAGGGGTGTAATGAATATTGTGTATAGAGATGTGTGATATTATAAATATATATTGTGTATAAAGATATAAGGTATACTGTGTTTAGAGATGTGTGCTACAAGGTATATTAGAGAGTTTATGTGTATTATAGATGTAATGTATATTGTGTAATAGAGATGTGTGATACAAGGTATATTAGAGAGACTTATGTGTATTATTATAATAGATGTTATGTATATTGTGTAATAGAGATGTGTGATGCAAGGTATTTTAGAGAGTTTTTGTGTATATAGATGTAATGTATATTGTGTAATAGAGATGTGTGCTACAAGGTATATTAGAGAGTCTATGTATAGGAGTAATGTATATTGTGTAATACTAATAGAGATGTGTGATGTACAGATGTTAAGAATCTGTGTGTATTAAAGACGTAATGTGTATTGTGTATAGAGATGTGTGATATAAGGTATATTAGAGAGTCTGTGTGTATTAGAGGTGTAATGTATAGAGATGTGTAACATAAAGTATGTTAAGAGTCTGTGTGTATTAGAGGTGTAATAATATAAATCATCTATAGAGATGTAATATAAAGCATGTAAGAGTATAATATGTGTATTATTAGAGGTGTAAAGTATATGTGTATAAGTTAATTGAGGTGTATCATAAAGTATATTAAAGTATTTACACATTAGATCTAATGTATATTTTGTATACAGAGATGTAAAAATTATAAGTGTATATTTGTATATTGTGTATAAGGCGTTGGAGATGTGTGAGTAAGTATACCATATTTTCGGGAGTATAAGTCGATGTGGAGTAGAAGTCGAATCATCATATCTTACCGTTTTTCCTACCTCCATCAATATATAAGTCAAAGAGGTATATAAGACAAATGTTTTTCAACTCCACTGGGAGAGAGGCACTACTGCAGGAAGTCGGGGAGTTGCCCCTATCCCTAAGAAGAAAAGAACTAGCGACAAGGTACTAGGCTAAGATCTCGCAACTGGGCGAAAGATCCCCAACCTTTGTCAGTCTACAAAATACAAGATATGTGAGAGATCCTAGAAAGAAAAGCTTCGGCCAGGGTATCAGGGAAACAATCAAGGAACTGCGACTGGGGGAGCTCGTGGTAAATGAACACGACCCCAAGTGATCACCCCTTTGACGCTCCCTATACCGCCGGTTAATCTAGATCTACTACAGAAAACCGACAAGAAAAACAACCCCACTGCTGCACATGCTCTCTCTCTAGAACACCTGGAAGACAACTGGCCGTCTGATGACTGGGACCATGTGTACACGGATGGCTCACGCAATCCTGAAAGGGGCACCAGCTCGTTTGGAATATACCTGCCAAACGGGGAACAGGGAATAAGCAGGAAACTGCCCAATAACTGTTTGGTGTACACTGCAGAGCTTGTGGCCATTCATGACGCTATATCATGGATTTCCCATCAAAAGACTAGTAAGTTCGTCATTCCAAGCGACTCTCTGAGCAGTCTGATTTCAATCCAAAATGACAACTCGGACTCAAGACCAGAAGTCATTTCAGAAAACAGGCAGCTGTACCAGAGGGTTTTAGAGAAGGGAAGCAAAGTAGAACTCGTGTGGATTCCATCACATGTCAACATTAGAGGAAACGAGGAGGCAGATCGACCCGCCAATGAAGGTCTCAAGGACACAGCACCACTCCGCACCATAGAAATCTTCAGTATGGTCAAAAGACACGTCAATTCAATCTGGGAATTAAATCTCGTTGAACTTGACACATACAGATAGATTCCGGCTGGATGACAAGATCTACACAAAGACAACACTCAATCACCCTAGAAGAGATATTTGTAGACTTATATCGAAGCCAAGGGTGAAAGAGCGGCTGCAAGACTACAAACACCAAGTCATCATCTGTGAGTGCGGAGAAGAATGTACCACCAACCATGTCCTGGTAGACTGCGAGGTATACAAGGAGGAGAGAAGGGAACTAGTGAGAACAATGGAGACCAACAACATACCATTCAACACTAAGAACCTACTCTTCCCGAGACCAGATCTGAAACTGCAAATCTTCAAACAAATCCACGCCCTAATGGACACAGTTGGACTAAGTAGAATAGTGAAGTAAGAGGGGGTCACGGTTAGACGGGCCCGGCATCTAAACACTAAACTACATAGGGGATTTATACCAAACTGGCAGGATAGAGGAGTAAGGGGGAGTCACGATCAGACGGACTCGGCATCTAAACACTATTCCACCAAAAACAGACACCAAACCTACAGAGTGGGATTGTGGAGTAAGGGGAGGTCACGATAAGACGAGCCTGGCACCTAAACACAAACCCCACAAAGATGACATCTACCAAACTAGCAGGATAGTGGAGTAAGGGGAGTTACGGTCAGACGAACTTGGCACCTAAACACTATTCCGCAAATAAAACTGATACCAAACCCAGAGAGTGGGATAGTGGAGTAAGGGGAGGCCACGATAAGACGGGCCTGGCACCTAAACACTAACCCCAAACGATGACATCTACCAATCCAGAAGCAGACGAGATCATCTACCAAACGATATGTTTTATATTAAATAAAGGGAAGAACTTCCCACTAAACCAAATCCATGGCCTAAGGCCAAATGGAAAGATTGCAAAATCATATTCTAAAAAACAGGAATCAGCTTCAGCTCTCCTATGTCTTTTCTGCGATATCACTTATGTGGAAGCAGACGTTAAACACCAAGAACGAACGAACGAACAACTCCACGGTCGCATTCTCTTATCAAGTTTCTGGACTGTTATTCTAGTCTTATGTAAAATAATCAGTTTATAAATGTAAAACTAACTTAATTAATATTCAAAGTTGTGTTCTTGGTTTATTTGAACCTGTAGTTATTTCAATATATCCGATAAATACTAGACAATGCAGGATCTGTTTCTTATCGCACATGATAATAATACAATTAACGTTACTAAAAATAAAATAAAATTACAAACTAGAAATTGTATGATTGGTTAATTTAACTAAAACCTAGAGTAGAAATTTTGCGAGACGTGTGAAATTACGAAAGATGGAAACGTTACAATTTTGATGAGAGTAATGTCAGAGAAAAGATTCTATTTTGATGGTATATTCTCGGGTCTATGATAATATTTTGAATGGGGGTTATGTTTATAAATAAAGAAATAAACAAGCTAAGAAATGTTGACAAATATTTTGATTGGAATAGTGTAAGTAGTTTTGTTTTAGACGATAGCACGTGTGAGTTGACTGCTATTTTTTAACACAGAATGTCACTCGGCATCATGGAGCGACGGTTACCAACAAAACTTTTTTCGGAAAGTCATTTTTTTTACCTTCATCTGTACTTAAGTCAAAGCGGAGTATATAAGATGAAGGAAAGACTTCCGCAGTAAAAAAGTATCGACTTTACATCGAAAAATATGGTATATATTTATGTAAACTTACGCGGAACAGACTGAGCAATGATGACATCTATCTGGTTTTATACAATGACATTTTTCACAATATCTTGGAGCTGCAAATAGAACAGAACATTCTGTTGCTTATCCTGTCTTGGGCATAATTATTGATAGATATATTTTGGACAAATAAGTGATATTTAGTGAAATCTCGATTTCCTAATAATTCTAAATATATTCATCATGATATTAAATTACCAGTTTCAAGTACTATTAACAAGTTTCAGTTTCATTTCTTTCCAAATAATAATACAAACCTCCAGACATTGTACGGTTTAATACCGGTAAATTTCTAGCAAAGTTTTTCAATATTTCTCTTTGTCTGTCTTCACTTGGTTCTCTTTCTAATGCAGCAGCTTCTTCTGTACTCATATAAAACTAAAATGAAATTAAAAATATAATATTTACACTGAATATCAAACCTACCTTTAAAATATTGTTGGTGTAGAAAAATTGAATTGACGTTTTGAAATTTTCTTATGTCTGCAAAAGGGATTCTGTCAACAGTTCCCTTAGCATTCATTATTCATTATTACCTTATAACCATTGCACAGTTGATATACTGGATAGTAGAGCTGGACGATATTTCGGTTTTGCAATATAAAACAGTCACAGAAATAAAGACCATCAAAAATGCTGTCTTTAGAAAAATATCAAAAAAACGAACATATCGCGATATATCACACTGTTTTGATTTTTCTGGATAAATATTGAAAAAATGTCTTCCTTTTTATGCTATTTTCGATATTTTATTGCTTAATGATGAATAAATTCTGATATAAACTCCCAAGTGATCCTTCTACAAAGTTTCCAAAAGTCGTTAAAGAGGCCTAGATCTATTTCTTAAGGCCAACTCAATTTTCGTCAAGGTCGCTGAGATGTAAATAAGGTTAGGGCATATGATTGTTGACGTGACCTTTGACCAAACTTGAAGTTGGCCCTATCAAATAGATCTAACCATTAATAAGCTTTGTTTTTGTCACATGACTTCTCTCTCACTTTTTCACCCGACCAATACCGTAAGAAATATCTCTGTTTCTGTTCAATTTCTGTGCATCTTGACAAACTGTTTATTGATTTTCTGATTGAAATAAATTTTAATAAAGCAGAAATATAAATAATCTCAATGGTAGAGATCGACTGATTTTCATCATTTAGCATCGGGAGAGTCAGGTACAATACATGCACAGTTGAAAGAACACAATTCTTTTTTATTTATTTTTTTTCCTTTTTTTTCGTGCCTCCTTCATAATATGTAAATATTCTTAATTTAAATAAAATATCATAATTAATATATTGGAAATTAAAATTGTAATAAACAACAACAGCATAGAAAAACATTTTTAGTAAGCCTTCATGGCTATAGATATGCTCGTAGATCTATGTTTGAACCAGCTCATTAAATTTTGTTTGTGATTTTCCGTGCTGTATTAATAATATTGACTAGAAAGTGTCAAGTGAATACTCATGGGATATGTCCAACTTTTTATGCATGTTTATTTACATTTAAATGTAAATTATTGACATTTTATAAAATATTGCGATATAGTGATTGTATCACGACATTTCTAAAAATATTGCGATATCTGTTTCCAGGGATATCGCCTAGTTCTACTGGATAGTCTATTTGGTGTTTAATAATTCCACTGCAACATCTTCACTGAGTTAATGCAGTTTACTTTTTGCAATCAAGAATAATACCTAAGCGAAAAAGATAAAATCTCCTGCTCATCTTTTTTTATATCAAATAATATATCCATGACGCTCAAAAATCATGAAGTGTCTATTCACTCAAGCTTTTACCTAATTTATGTTATTTGTCATTATTGTTATATTCAATCTGTCATGTTGTTATATGCACATTCATTGCCTACTCTTTGTGTAAAGCAAGTCTGGGCACTTTTGGGGTAAAAGGTGTGATATATAAGTACATCTAGTATGACATTCTATTGTTTTGCTCAGCAGTTGGATTCTTCTACCCTTTAGAATGAATGTGGCTTATGATAAAATGTTTCTTTTTAAGTTGGTATATTTCTGAAAATAGTTTGGATACTGGAAGCATTTCACTTTTCTTCAGCTGTTGAGTAGATGTGGTGTTTCAAATTACGGTATACTTATACATGTGCTTTTAAGTTGTATGTGAAATCATGTGGTGTTCCACACAGTCTATTACTTACAGATTTAGGTACAGGTCCATATGGTGTAAAGACAGTCTGCCAATAGGACCAAACAAACATCACCAACACTGGATGGTATAGTAAAAGATAAATAACTGAAATTAATCAAAAAATCATTCATTTTTTAATTTTTAAAAAATAAAAATGTATAACAATAACTTTTTTTATCAAATAGATTTGAAATTGTAACAAGTTTAACCAGCCAACAGTGAGGCTGATGTCCCCCACAGAAATCCCAAAATAAATAGATGACACAAATTGATTAATTGCACATTATCTTTTTCAAAAGTATTGAGCAATCAAACTGATTATCTATACTTAGTCAAAGCATAAAATTTTCACGATTAAACTCAGTCAAGGTTTTGAAGTATCTGGTAGTGAAACTATACACTAAGTTTCATCAGTTATCTTGTCCCAAAGCATTGACCAATTAAACTGCTTAGCTCTGCTTAGCTTTTGTGGGAAATGTTAATCATTGAACTCAGTCAAGACATTCAACTAATGAACATCTACATCAAGTTTAAACATTCTATCTCAATAAAAAGCAGAGTTGTTATGTTCCAAAGTCTTGACCAATCAAAATGCTCATTATAGAACTTAGTCAGTGTATTGATGTAATGAAACTATACAGCAAGTTTCATCACTCTCACACACCATACATTATGCAAGAGCTAAATCTGCCTATCGCAGGTCATTCTTTAGGCGTGAAATGTTTTCTAAATTATTAATTAGACATTAATTAACTGATCCAGGCCATAATCAACTCTCAACGGCATCGGATTTCTCTGATATTAAATAGATTAGAACGGTTCAGCCATATTTTGATTTAATCTAAAAACGGAGGAGTGAGACTTAGCTTCAAACAACCGGTACGGTGGTTTAAAATATTGCACACGTCTTGTCAAACCTTCTAAGGCTAATATCTTCGCTCACAATAGAGTAATTTGAATGAAATTTTCAAATTATTCATTTTACATTATCTATTTTCGAACTAATATAGCAAGAATGGCTAGCTCTTTATTGGAATCTTACATAATGTATCTTTAACATATTGCAGTCTTTCTTTAGGCCTGAAATGTTTTCTAAATCATTAATTAGACATTAATTAACTGATCCAGACCATAATCAACTCTCGATGGCATCAGATTTCTCTGATATTAAATAGATTAGAACGGTCCAGCCATTGTTTGATTTAATCTAAAAGCGGAGGAGTGAGACTTTGCTTCAAACAACCGGTATGGTGGTTTAAATTATTGCACACGTCTTATCAAACCTTCAAAGGCTAATATCTTCGCTCACAATTGAGTAATTTGAATGAAATTTTCAAATTATTCATTTTACATTATCTATTTTCAAACTATTATAGCAAGAATGGCTAGCTCTTTATTGGAATCTTACATAATGTATCTTTAATTAGAACTAAAATTATCGTGTCCCAAAGTATCAACCCATGAAATTGCTTATCTCTGCTTACTGTAAGCAGGAAATCCTCCTCTTCGAACTCCATCACGGCATTCACCTAATGAATGCCTACACCAAGTTTGAACCATCTACCTCAATTAGAAGGAGAGATATTGTGTTCCTAAGTCTCGACCAATCAAATTACTTATCAAACTTAGTCAAGGTATTGATGTAATGAAACTATACACCAAGTTTCATCACTCTAACTTAATTAGAACAAAAGTTCTAATCAAATTGCTTACCTCTGCTTACCCTAAGCAGAAAGTGCTCATCTTCGAACTTAATCAAGGCATCCACCTAATAAACACCTACACCAAGTTTGAATATTCTAGCTCAATTAGAAGCAGAGTTATTGTGTCCCAAACAGTGGGACATACAGACAGACCGACATATGTCGGATTGTCCCCTGCTTTCTTCAAAAGGCAGATTGACAATAATTTGAACACTACTGTTAATTGGACTTCAATATCAAATAATGATATTTTATCTAATTTTGAATCTTTCTTTTGCAAACTAAATACAGCTTGCATCAGTCTTTGATGACAAAAGCTGTGATAGAGGCTTTCATTCACTTGCATAATGTAGGCTATTTAATACATGTAGAACCTTGTCAACATCCCTCCTGTTGATCTATAGTTTGTACCATACAATAAATTCTTGATGCGGATGTGGTAGACATGTATATGACACAAATTTGTACTTAAAAGCTTTCAGATTCTTAATGTATCCTTTTGTGCTGATTTATGACATTTTTTTACCGTAATAAATAATTCTTTCAATCTTAATTATGTCAACCTACAAAAAGACATTTGACTATTAAAATACATGTGATGTACATAAATTACCTTTTTCTGGTATACTTTCAACAGCAACTGAAAAAAAAAAAATTAAAATGAAAAATTAAATAATCAAATATTCAGTTAGGTTTATTCAATTTATATACTGCTGATGGGATATCCCCTTGTGCTTATAGTACTCAAGATCAGATTTATGTGGCCAACTCTTTTAAGTCTATGAATGCATTAAAGGAACAATTAAAATTGAAGAGTAATATTAAAATATTCAGAAAACTTTGATAAAAAAAACTGCTGATCAAATATACTAACGACCCAAATTTTCTCGAGTTTCATAATAATATCGAAGCCACGGTGGCTAAGTCAGTAGACGTTGGCTCACTAACCCGGATGTCCTATGTTTGATACCGGCATTGCCCAAGAAATTTTATCAGGATTTTCCAGCATAGTTTACCCTTGTCAGTGGTGCAGAATAGAGGGTCTGGTAAGGGGAACGAGTAGTCATTTGGATGGGACAAATAAAAAAGAGGTCCCGTGTACACATTGCAGGTAAAATATCCCTTGGCAGTTGGAATTCAATATAAGAGTAGGCTGTAGCCGCGCTGCTCAGGCAAAATGTCCCTCATAGCACACTGTATGGCGTTTGTTCGTCTCTACTAGTCCAGTCTAAGCAGAAAATACTCGTCATTCTTAGTTTTATATTGTTGATGTAATTAAATAGAATTAGTTATTATTGTGTTACAATCAAATTGTCTATCTCTACTTAATCAATGCAGAACATGCTCATGTCTGAAAGGTACTGATGTAATAATGAAACTATATACCAAGTTTTATAACTCTCACTCAATTAGAACCAAGTCCTTGTGTCCCAAAGCATGAACAAATCCATGGTTTACATCTGCTTAACCTAAGCAGAAAATAATCATCATCGTACGCAGTAAACACCTAGATATACCAAGTTTAAACATTCTACCTGAATTAGAAGTCCCAAAATGTGTGACCGACAGACAGTTCAACAGACTGAAGCAGTAAATGAACACAAAGTTGGAATGACTAAGACTATGCCATGAGCAATCTATTACCATGAACTTACTGATAGATAGATGTATCTCATGTTAATAAAGTTTTTGCAGGAATCATGAACAGCATAAAGAGGGTTGTGCCACAGAATTGTGAGCAGATGCGCGCACGCTACTGGATCTTGACCGATCTGGAGAATATCTGTCAATGTTTATACCCACAATTGTACCCAATTCTAACCCTTCAGAATAGTTTTAGCCACAATCCACCGTTGTTACAGCTTCAATTTGTTCGTTTGACATGTATATATAAACCTAACCCGAACCCTAACCCTAGAGAAAGATATTCTCCAGATGAAACAATGATCTAGTATTATGCCAGATGCGCCTAGAGAAGACTACCAAATTCACTTTCTGTCACTTGGTAACAGATCTGTTTAGTGATGTCATCAATGTCAACTATGTTTACAAACATATAAATAATGACTGTTAATTCAAAATTTTAAGTCAGTGGAAGGAGGGCAACACAATGCAGTGAAGACATCAAATGACATTGTTAAAGTAAATTTGATATTAATAATTGCTGTGTCATGTCATGTCGATTCATCCTCATAGTCATAGTACCAAATTTACTTACTCTACCTTCTCAACTGGCAGGTTTACATATCGTATACAGTATAGTCTTTGGATTATAATAATAATCATTATCAATTCTAATCTAGGAATGTACAGGATTATTCCTTCACAATCAAAATGCCAATGAATATGGTTGTAAACCTGCCCCTAGCAGTCACAGTGGCACTGTAGTGTTAGTGTTAAGGCCACTGTATTATGCCGATTTCAAAACAAATCAGCACAGACAGAATAGAATCCAGTACAAAATATTTACTAAAGATTAAACTATAATATATATAAAACAGTGATTAGTTATTTGATTTCAATTTTACTTACAAAGACACATCTGTACAACATAAGCATAATAAGACCAGACGACAATAGCCGTGATGAAAATTACAGGCGACCATTTGACGGCTGAACAGCACGTATTGACACACGAGGGAGCCATGGTAAGCTAAAGTTTTATGTCCCTCCAATATTCAATATTACTTTCTACATGAATAAAGCTTTGGCTTCTTTCCAAAAAGGTGTAGTTTTTGTTCATTTGTCCAAGACTTTGACGAGAATTTCATTCCTCCGACATATTCTTATCGATCAGTTGCCAACATCCGGTTTCAGATAATCATGATAAACGAGACTATCTGCGTAGGCGGCTGCTAAAAATACATAGTCTTGTTAACCTAGTCTCTCTTGATATTATGGTGGGATTTCCCATCTAGGGAAAGATTTAATAATTCGCCCTCTAGTTTTCAGTCTACCTAGAACCACAAATGTAGCATAAAATCGCATTACCACCTTTTTTAAATGCAGTATCTAGGCCCATAGAACATTTTTAAAATTTATTTTAAAGGGTCAATCTCGATTATATTTTGGTGAATAAAGCTGATTAATTTTGTCTTAAAAGCCCTAAAAATCCTCTTCAAACAACTTTTAAAAACCCGTTAGCCTTCATCTTGAAAAGTTCCTTTCGTTGTCAAGTACAGCACATGGGTCATGCACAGTAGAAACCTCTAAAGGAACGGCAATAGATTATCAGGTCACACAACGAAAAAAGTGATCCGAAATCTTACAGGGGCTACGTGTCCAGATAAGCGGTTTTTACATTAACGTCCAAATGACTCAATATTTTGAGCTGAAATACATCATTCCTCTCTATATTTTGGCGCTTAAATTTCATATGTACACAGGCTTATTTCTGACACTGTTAAAATCGGGATGGTCCCTTTAATCTTATAAATGAATGTCCCAAACTTTGAAAAGTCAAGATATGTTTGGTTGTTCAGTAAGTGTAGTATTTTGTGAACCCAGTAGATGGATAAATAAATGAAGACAGATATTGCAAGATTATACAGCAGTGACAAATAATTTGATGAGGACAATAATTTTGTAAACAGTGTTAATCCTGTCACACTGACGGTGATGATAGCTTCAAGAGGAACGAGGATGGACTGGGGCCCCACAGTGCAAAGGCCCGGGCAGGTGGCTTGTAGTTTTTAATTCACCAATTATTCCAAAAAAATCTGATTCTAATCTTCCCCACATCATTAGGTACCCACCCACATTCAGAAAAGTCACTCATTTTCTTCTACTTTACAATCAGGTAACAAGTGTACTTTTTTATACCAAAATTATTTTCTAAGAACATTTCTCGGCATACCTCTCTGCCCCTCTAGACTCCAGGGCCCTGGGCTTCTGCCCAGCTGCCCCCCTCCCCAACTCTCATGGACCTTGACTATATGGGATATAAGATACACTATGACTATGTATAAATTTAAAGTAAATCAGATGAAGTATGGTCTGGAGAGCGTGAACAAGAATATTGAAAGAGGTCATAGGCTATGACTGACAGTAATTATCAGATATCGGCTTCTTCAGCTCATGACATTAAGCATTGTGTATAAATATAAAGTCAATAGAATGATAACTTTGGTCTGTAGAGCATCCACAAGATTTTTCAAAGAGGTCAATGGATATAACTGGCAGTAATTATCGGAAATCGTTGAAAATTGAAAATCAATCAACTTCTTCGTCTTATGATCATAAACACTGTATAAATTTAAAATTAATTGGATATTAACTTTAGCCTCTAGAGTGTCCACAACATTTTTCAAAGCGGAAGGGGGCAACGACAATATATGACTAGGAGCAAACTTTACAAATAATACATAAGTTGTCACAAAACTGAAATAAAAACAAAAAAAACAAGGTAATTTTTACACCTAAGGGTACATTATTTTTATTTACATTTATTTTAAAATATAGAAACAACCATTTCCCCCTTACAGTGTAAATCATTTCATTTAAAATTCCAGTTGAAGGTCTTAAATGATAAAAACCTATTGATGGTGTAAGGTACAGACAGTTTATAACACTGACAGATTTTAAAACATGCCCTTTTAACAAGGGCATTTGTGTAATTGACACATGTGGGCTATCAAGGGTTGTGTTGTTAAGACATCATTTGGCTGTTTAACCACAGATTAGAGCTCTAACAAGACAGATCTATCTAAACCTCTGCATCTTTTAAGTTGTGGCAAATATGCTAGTTGAAAGAACACATTTAGCTCTAGATAAATAAATCTAAAAATTTCAAGGGCAATCTCTTCTCAATTAATCATCACTCTTGAAAAACCGACAATGAAAAATATGTTGTTTACTAATTAAAATTCTGATATTTAATTGGATTATTTCATAATATACAAATATATCCAATGTTATAAGTTTATTTAACATGGGACAAAAATATATTAGAAAATACTGATATGATGGTACACAGAGGTTTACAGTACACAAAACAAACAAAAAAATTAGAACATGAAAATTTGAAAATAGTTTTAAAATTACATAATGAACTAATATTTTTTTTTCTTCTATTACATTGGCAACATTACATTAAAATTATATCATTAAATAAAATTTAAAATACATATTCATGTCTTTATTTCAAGGCTCACTCAAGTCAAATAAGGCCCAAATCCCTGAATTATTCTTTAAAGCTACTCTATCGGCCAAATGCAAGAATGTGGACCCTAAAGTAACTTTCAATCTCTAAACCCTGCCCAAGAATGATATAAAAAAAAAAAAGAAAAAAAAGATGATAACTGTAAGCAATGCGAAAGATGAATTTATAAAATCAAAAAAATAGGAAGGACACAGCTCAGAAAAAAATATTAAAACAATGACAAAATGATGATGAACCACAACAAAATGCAGATTAAAAGATTTGACCTTGATAAGCATTAAAATCAATGTAATTTAAAATTATATCTCGTTCAAATTTGATAGAAGTATAAATGACCTTAAAGCAAAAACCACGTAGCTGTATATTTGACTTGACAATAATATAAGGTGTAGGACCTGTTGGTCAGTCATACATTAGTGAAATATTCAAAGACAAATTATAACATTAAGCATAGAAGCAAAAAGAAAAGAAATACATTATTGAAAATAACTGAATGTCAAATATTTTAATTCTTAATATTTAAAATCAATTACAAAGCTTTTAAACTAAGAAATTAAAATCCCTCAAATATGACCATTAACAATAAGAGCAGAGCAGAAATCCTTCCATTTAACGTATAGTTATAACTGATTATTTTCAAGTCAAATATCTTTAGCAGCACGGCTATTGTTCATAATAATCACAGTTATCAGCTTTTTGAAAAGTCCAAATACTCTAATACACACAATTTTAGGGTCGCAAAATCAAATATCACAGATAAAATTGTTCATTCACGAACACCTGGTTTTCTTTTAAAAACAAACTGCAATTTACAAACAAACCCTCTAAAGTATGTTTCATTATATACTTCTTGTTTTGTTACGAGATAAAATCAAATTCTGTCTAAAACCAATACAAAAGTATCGCAATATAGGCAAGTAAAACAATTGATTAAATGTGTTGGAAAATATATGCATTATTTGATTTAAAGGGAGAGAATTGGCTATCAAAAATAAATCTAACAATGAATTTTACAATTGAATTATTGGGATAAAGATGGAAAATGATCGTATTCAATTTTTAGACCTGATTTGCACAATTTTAACAATAAAAGATATTGCTTATTACCCAACATTAATAATCAAACATGTCTACTTGTATTTATCACACATCCTAATAATATTGCTGCCTTTTACATCAGGATTTATCACAATTTCTTCCTATTGTAACAAAGGAAATATTAAAATTCCACATGAAAATATGTGAAACAATAATTTATCATGGTCAACACGACAGACCAACAGGTGTTCTGAGATGGTAGCAAATCGCACCCCTGATTGTTTCCCTGTGTCTGTCTTCCTGAACAAAAGAATAATCCCAACTTAAAATGATTAAACAATGGAAGGGGGAAAACAGTGTTAAAATTAAATCTAAAATATCAACAAAAAGTCGACACACATGTAAGCACTTGCAGCTATCTAACTTCTGTTATAAAGAGAAAAATAAAGCATCCTAATATGTAAAGAGGGGGCGAAAAAGCCTCTGTCAGCACCAACCCAAAATATTAAACTGATAATCTCTGAAATACACTACATTTGAATAAATTATGACCATAACTTGCTTATATAATTTTCCGCAACTTAATTTTAGGAGATACTAGAATTCATTCATTGGCTTAGTATTAATTCATGCCATCTAAAAGCTAGATCCAGCTTAATATTTTGTTGAAGAGATATGGAACAGATGCATTCACTTAATACATATATAAATAATATCATATGCAATGTCAAAACTTCATAATCATCAATTATGATTGTATACTTTGTACACGAATTGATGGTAATCTAATATACAAATAAAACAATTAATTAAGGACATATTTTGATATTAGTTCCTTGGTTGTATCAAATTTCATAACTAAAAATATGCATGCACAAATATTTTACATGATAAAAATTGTCTATGTTCGATTTCGTTATGCTCCAAAATGACCTGTTAACATGAACGTAATGAAGTGATGAAACGGTCTATCATGAGGCAGATGTGACGGTTGCTGGCATATTATCATCTGTACCAGTCGTATGAGAATTGGAGGAAATGTTATTATTTTCATAGCTAGTTCCATTTTGAACAAAAGATGTTCCAAGTCCATATAAATGACCACAGTATTTAGCATCATCAATATTATCTTCAAAAAACATCTGGAAAAAAATAAAATCATTCTTGAAATAAATACCATATCAAATCAACATTAATAGATATATTTTATATTTTAATAATATATACTGAAGTCGAAAAGAAAGTATACACTGTTCATTTTGTCCTGTTTCAAACAAAGTCGTTTTTCCATTGTATGCGGTATTTGGGTACAATGTCCATTTGTTTTGCCGTTTATTTGCTTAGAAAAATTGAGTTTGTTCAGTGTAGTTTTATCACATTTTTTTGATTTAACAAAACTTAGTCATATTTTTAGTGTGTATACTTTCTTTTGGACTTCAGTATAGAATTCATATTTGGAAGTAGTCCTTTCAATAATGTCACAGCAAAAATCTGTCTTTTGGAATAGAATGTGATGCAGTATTTAAAGATAATAGTTTGCAGGTAAATACAACAGTAAGTTTGACTTGTGAACAGAAAAATATTTTTTCTATGTTAAAGATATACAACATTAGCATGAAATCTCATTCTAAAAATGCCTTTTAATTAATTGAAACTACAAAGACCAAATAGTAAATTTTACTATCTATGGTTACAGTTGAAAAAAACTAATTTAATACTAACCTCTCTCATTTTAAAAAATGCCATACCAGTTAACAAACTATCACTACCTGCTTGATGTTGAGGTCCAACACGAACAATCTGTTAATTAAAGAAATTTTATGGATTGTTAGCTTTTCACTTGAAAAAACAAACATCTGTGTATAAAAGGACAGTGAACTATATCTTCTCTTTCTAATTCACACCATCTTATTTCTGTGCCAAGGTCCAAAATTATAAAAGAACAGAAAAAAGATACATCTTGTTTAAATTTAAATTCCTGAAAGGCTTAAATAAATTATACTAAATCTAAAATAGTATAAAATTACCTCTAACTGGTCAGCAACTTCTTGTAAACCACCTTTCAAATTTTTACAACTTTTCATTAAATATTTCACATCATATATATTAGGGAAATAAAGCTGCAGAAGTTCGAAAAATTCGGTTTCCTCAGTAGGAAGATTAGTACCAGTTAAAAGCTTCAATAAATAACCAAAATCGTAACCACTGAAATAAAAAAGAAGCCATTAATGCATTTGAAATTTACAATTTTATAAACACAAGTACCGGATTTTAAAGAGTATATTGTTTTTTCAACCTCCAATAGACAATTCGAAGCAGTGTATAAGATGAGTGCTTTTCAATTCAGTAGTTATCTTTCATAGTCTAATACTATGCCGATGTACGTCAAAAAAGGGCCCATAATATTAATTAATGTAAAATAATTAAATGTAGGACTAACTTGAGTAATATTCCAAGTTTTGTTCTTGGTTCATTTGAACCATATTTTATTTCAATATCTACTATAAATCCCAAGACAATACACTGTTTCTCTTCGCATGTGACATGGCCATATTATGATTACACAATGTTACTAATAATAGAATAAAGTAAAATAGAAGGCATCTATTGATTGGACAATAAAGAAAATAATTACAATTTTTATGATTGGTTAATTTAACTGATAACCAAAGTAGAATTCTCGCTAGAAATTACGAGAGATGTACACGACATGTGTATAATTATGGCAGAACTATTCTGTTTTAATGGTATTTTCTGGACTTTATGATTATATTTTGAATAGTGGTTATATTTTTAAATAAATATTAAAGTATATATATATATTTAGGAATGCTGACAAGTATTTGGATTGGAATAACAATGAGCACTGTTGTCGATTTTTTTTATAACCTTCATCCATATATGAAAGACCCGCTTTCTGCGGAAAAAAGTATCAACTTATACCCCGCAAAAGACGGTAACTGTAAACAGGGATAACTAGCTATATATAGTTGCCTAGCCAATTTCATCTCCTCTTATCAATACCTTCAAAAAATAGAAGACTGACAAGACTGTCAAAATATTGAGATAAATCTAATACAGCATACCTATGAAATGAAATAAATCTCATATCTTCTGCTAGCACTATACCAGACGTCATTAGTAACTCTGCAAATTCAAGCAGATCTATTCCATCCTGATCATGTTTATCAAACTGAATACCAGACGTTCTTAATAAATCTATAGACTCTTGTGCATACATATCTTCCCTGTAACAAATAAAGACATCACTAGAAAGAAGAATCATTTATAAATGATATTCATTATGTGTAATTTTAAGCGACAGAAATCCCTTGCAAACTAATAATTTATGTTGCATAGACATTTCAACAATCTAGGCTGCTCGCTATGTAATAAGCTCACACAATTTTGTAATAGGCGAACAGAATTGATAGTCCTTTTTTCAATCTGATTGAATCCAATCCAGGAGCTTATCTAGCGTTGGTATTTGGATCATGTTTGCTTAATTAAATGTTAAATAATCAATCTGAGTACATATTAGCCTGGATAAAGTTGGGAGGAAATTGATACTGTAGCGAAAGATAGGTTGCCAGACAACGAAACACACGCCCACAGCAGCTAATCGCCCGGGCAGTCAACAAGAGTTGTCGCATATTGAAACATTTATAACACACTAAAATCTGATTAAGAATTTGTTTGGCACGTGCTAACGTTTAGTATACAAAACATTTAATATCATGGATTTAGCTGTCAAGTTATCAAAAATCACTGAAAATCAATATACTTGTTCATCCCCAAGACCTTAAACTCTGTGTATCAATCTAAAGTCAATCTAAACAATTATATATAGGCGTATAAATATAAAATCAATTAGATGATACTATGATCTCTAAAGTATCCAAAAGAATTTTGAAAGTGGCCAAGGACCATAACTCTGGCAGTAATTATCAATAGGATTCTTTGTCTGATGATCTTAAACCCATCAGAGGGAAGTAGCATGTTTTCAGCTCAGAATTCCCATATTTGCTTCTCATTTTTAAGTAACTTGGCCACCATTATCAGAATTAGTCAAAGTATTGTAATGAAACAATATACACAAGTTAATCACTCTCACTTAATTATAATCAAAGTTATTGTGTTCTCAAAGCATTTTTCAATCAAATTGCTTATCTCTGCTTACTTTCAGCAGAAAATATTCATTAAACTTAGACAAGACATTCATCTTATAAAACACCAAACTAGAACATTCTATTAGAGCAGAGTCATTATGTCCCAAAAAGTGGTCACGATGGATGGACAGACAAACTGATTAATGTTTCTCTGCTTTCTTTGGAAGGGGGGGTTGGGGCTGGGGGGGGCTACTTACGTTAAATTAAATTTCATATTAAACTGCCATGTACAAGTATTTGGAGCTGCCTCTCCTTTTTCATTTAGAAAAGAAAATCCAACTTGAATTAGTTTTAATAGGTCGACATTACATCTAAGTAATTGGTATTGAAACTCAGCAGTGCTCCTAAATTCACCAATTGGTCTTGCAACAACACCTGGGAACTCAGTGTCCTAAAGCATCATGAAATAAAAATATTGCATTAAATAATATTTTAACATTTTTAGAAATATCAATCTAGCCAATCATTATATTCTAATTTGTTTTTTTAGTTTTTACTTTTTTCACAGACTGGATCAGCAAGCAAGAGATCAAATCTCTTTTCAAATTATCAGTTACTGACTTGACCTGCCAATGTATGTCAATAAAGCGAGTATTATACTAAAACTAATGACTAATAAAATATCTTTGTTTTGCTTTACATACCATTGCAACAAATTTATATTTCTGGACAACCCGTCGCATACAACGAAACTCTTCTTCCAAATTGTGTTTCCAGACATCCCTGATACCATATTCTGTTTGTGCTACTGATGGCATTTTAACAGCATAACTGAGAATCCACTTTTAGAGGCCTGAAATGTTTGATACATGCAACTAAGTTGTCTTGCCTTGCATTTTGTAAAGCCAATTTCAGAAATGGTTCTAGGACATTGATGTTACTCGCGGTTAGCAGACAATTTTGGGGTTGTTTTGATGCAAAGATGTAGGCCTAATCATCCAGTTGCAAAATTATTGCTTGTAACCTTGATAAATTCCCAGAAGAAACAAACCATAAAATATAATTACATAACAAAGATATGTCAGTTTACCCGTATTTGAAACATAACATCAACTAACAGATAGATAAAGCTCTTTTGCAACACGACTCTTCAGAAACCATACCCAACATAATCTAGCTATTTTCTTTTTTTTGCCAGATATACACCACATTATTATTTCTATATTTTGTACTATGTACAATGGTAACAATGTATAATCTTACTTGCACAACACAATGTACTGAGTAGGACTGTGACTGTATTGGTGTTTGGTTGAGCATGAAAATCTTTGAGTGTTATTAAATGGATTTGCTCTTAAAATGGATGAATGTTGACAATGTGAAATTGTTTATTAAATTTCTAAACAAAGTACTCTGAAATCGACTATACGATACTGTCACATGACATCTCCACTAAATTCAAATCGAGAGAGAGAGAGAAAAGGGGTTTAACGTCCACTCGACACAAACTAGGTCATTTCGGGACTAAAATATATTTTAAATTTAATTTCAATAATTCGCTTGCGCATAGGGGTCTTTAGCAGTGGGAGGAAACTGGAGAACCCGGAGAAAATACACGAGGTTGGACAGGCAACCCTACTCCTTGTCACGTACAACCGGGGATTCGAAACCACGCCAGTCGACTGAATGACAGACTTTATGATACAGCGCGCGCACGCTAACCATTCAGCCATCCAACCCCCCAAATTCAAATCGATATGGCAAGTCAATAAAAAAGACTAATAATATGGTAATCTCTGCAAAATCTTATCTTCTGGGATGAAACCTGCTCTAAAACATACATTACATGTACCTTCCACGTCACTTAAAACTCCAATACACTTTTTCAAATTGACAACCACACAGTTTTTCAGACAAAATAATTGAAACTAACTTCCAATTTGGTATTTAAAATTTTGGATGTTGCACTCATTTTTATATGTCAATTTTTACTTATTTTATGGGTGAACCATGTTACCATCCACCTGTTATTAATAAAAATTATTTTTATGATTGAATGTAGAAATCATACAGACACAAAGTAAAGTTTAAATTGGTTCTACATTATTACACTATCAAACACAGATCTTTAAATTTCAGCTTCTTGATTATTTCATACAAACCTTTGTATCTTCACACAACAATGTTCCCCTTATTTGTATTCGATTTTGCAAATTTTATGAACAAGACTAAGAGTAAGAGCATGTGCTTTCGATCCCAAACACTGCTTAGTAAGATATATTGTGAGCGTTGCTCCCTTTCAATATGGTCAAATTTCAATAGTTTAAGGTGTCTCTAAATAATATATAAGTTTCATTTTAGATAAGAAAGTGGTTTCTGGCTGTTAAATTGAATGAACTGTAACGAACAAATGCGGAAAATTGAACATTATTTGCGAATCTTTCTCAATTCAACTTCCGGTTCATTTCGCGCATGTCTAAAAAATAAAAGTCTGGATATTCATGTATATTCTATTTTTACAGAACATATGAAGGAGAATACCAATGACGTAGGCTAGTGCTAAATGATAAGGTCAGCTCAATTTTTCGTCATAGGTCACGAGATGTAGCGCTAATCCACATCCTAACCCTAACCCTGAAGCTAGCCCCAATGCTTACCCATTACTTACAATCTCGCCAACAATCACGTGCCCTAATCTTATTTACACACCAGCTACCTTGACAAAAATTGAGATGGCCGTAACAAATAGGTTTAACCCCAATGACGTATATATATGATTGACAGCTGTCAGACTTCTCTCAAGGGAAATAAACTGAACAATTGGAAGCAGACCACAAATGCGATGGCAAAAAATTTAGAAACCTGTTTTCCTGCTATTCCACTTCCAAGCTACGAGTTGAAAGTGTTCCAATATAGCCTTATTTCGTCATAGGTGATTAATTTATAATTATGCATGTTCTTAATATTCATTAGAATAAAAAATAATCTTGCTTCTTTGACTAAAACGTTGGATATGAATTCTCATGGATTACCAATTCTCAGTTTAAGGTCTGATGAAATTTTAACTCTAAATAATTCCTCTGGAATTGCAAAATAATATATTTAATATTTTCTGAATTTTCTTTGCAGTAGTTTTACAAAATGGAGGTCTCTGTCAATTTAAATCCCAGGACCTGAAAGAATAATAAATATTCTTCTATTACGGTAGCGTATATAGCCTTTATAGGGGTCATGCAATTTTTTTATTTTTATTTTTTTTTTTAGAAAACTGCGAGATCCTGTGAACCTGTGATTTTTTCTCGGGATCCCAATTTAATGGTCTCGAGATCCCCTAACAATTTTCTCAAGATTTTCGAGTTATGTTCTCGGGATTTTGACACATGTGTAAACTATCTTGAGATCTCGAATATTTTTATACACCCACTTCGCCCTTTAACGCGATAGGGATTAACGGATTTTCAGCTCTCCGCGACCTGTCGTTCCAGAGTTATGCCCCCTTTGCCGAAAACCTTGTAAACACGATAGAGGATACAGTTTTTATCGGATTTGTTTCAATTTTCAGCTCTCCGCGACCTGTCGTTCCAGAGTTATCCCCCTTTGCCGAAAACCTTGTAAACACGATAGAGGATACAGTTTTTATCGGATTTGTTTCAATTTTGGCGTGAAGCTTTCGGGTCACGGGAGGGCGACATTTACCTATTTTCAGCGCTCCGCTTCGTTCCGAGCCCCCAACCCCCCCCCCCCCACACACACACACACACACACTCTTGTTAACGCCATAGAATTTGTTTTCAAATGTAGTGTGACGCATTTGGGGCCTATCGATTTTCAGTACATGTACTCTGCAGACTTTTGTTCCAGAATTACCCTCCTTGTCAGTAAACCTTGTTAGCGAGTTGGAGGCTACAGTTTTTAGCTTTTTTTTTTCCAAATACGGGGTTATGAGAGAACGATCCTTTTTCATCATTCTGCGACTTCTTTTCCTCAAAACCCACACCCCTTTCTCCGACATCCGAGACCTTTGTTAACGTCATATAGGCTACACATTTTAAAGTATTTATTTCAAATTTTGTCATATAGGCTACACATTTTAAAGTATTTATTTCAAATTTTGTATGAATCATGAGTGGATGAACTCTGTTGTTATTCAATGTTCAGCAATCTTTTAAGTCCTGGTCCGAAGTTACTCCTCATTCTATGAAAACCCGACAAAGACTTGCGTTTTTAACGGATTCTCGATATTCTGTGTTCCGCTACAAGAATGAACCCTGTTGATTTTCAGCAATGTAAGATTTTGTGTTATGGAGATATATTATTTATCCGGAAAAGCTGGTAAACACGACAGAGATTTGATTTCTTGAAGGATTTAGTAACATCAAAGTTTTCTTTTCGGATAATCTGCTGCTGAGACAATATAGCTGCTGAGCGTATTTGCTCTCTTTAGTATGAAGCATTGGTGTCATGAGCGGAGGAGCCCTATGCCTATATTGATTTTCAACGTTCGTTGGGATTTTTCCTTGTGAACGCGATAGAAGTTACATGTTTTGAAGGATTGTTGCCTCAAGAGAATAAACCTTAGAGAAACATTCTCTGGCTTTTCGATGGGGTTATATTCCCCTTTCCCGTATAGGCCTACCCCGTGAACGCGATAGGAGTTATTTCTCTTTTTACCGTATACCTTGTGAACGCGATAGGGCCAAGAGTCTTCGCGATTTTTTGTTTTTTTAAAAAAAATCTGCCGCGAAGTATTTGGGCCACCAGACAATAAACTCTGTCGGTATTGGAGTTTGTGGTTCCATCAATTTTACAATTTCTTGCAAACTATGTAGAATACAGTTTCTTTTTAGTTTCTGTGTGAAGCAAGTGGATTTTTCTGTCGAATTACACCAGTGTAACCATAACATTGGGACCATAAGAGAATGAATGAACAGCTTATTCGTCCATTAGTTCACAGTTTTCATTGTCTAACAAAGACTAGAGTATTTTGTTTTTATTTGTAGGGACTTTCTTTTCAAATTTGGTACAAAGCATTGCGTTCATGCTTGCTTCACAACGTGGAGACACCATGGTGGGGTTTCGGGAAAACTGTAGATCTGGGGACATTATCTTGTTGTCAAGATCTCGATAATACTAACTCAATATTTCGAGAAAATTTACACAGGATGTCAATATCTCGAGAACATTAACCCGAATTCTCGAGATAGTTAACACAGAGTGGAACAATCCCGGGAAAATTATCATGGGATCTCGAGAACATTAAATTGGGATCTCGAGAAAATTACAACAGGATCACGGGATTTCGAGAAAGTATCTCAGGATCTCGAGATCTTCTAGAAAATTGTGCATGACCCCTGTATACGGAAGCGTATAGGGGTCATGCAAAATTTTGTAGAAGACCTCGAAATCCTGCGATCCTGTGATACTTTCTCGAGATCTCAATTTAATGTTCTCGAAATCCCCTAATAATTTTCTCGAGAATCTCCCATCCTGTGTTAACGATCACGAGAATTCAAGTTAATGTTCTCGGGATCTTGCCATCCTGTGTAAATTTCCTCGAGATCTTGGGTATTTTTATGTGAACACGTAGTTTCTCAGCGCCCCACAACCTGTCGTTTCGGAGTTTACCCCCCCCCCCCCACACTTTCCCGAAAACCTTAATAGCACTACAGAGCCTACAGTTTAGTGCAAGGCATTGGGGATTGGGGCCATGAGAGGACGGCCACTGCCGCTTCTAGCTTCTAGCGCACCTTATCGTTCGGGAGTTATCCCCCTTATCCGAAAAAACTTGTTAACGCAATAGAGGCTACTGTTTTTGTTTTTTAAATGTGGTGTGAAGCACTGGGACCTTTCGATTTTCAGTACTCCGCAAACTTTGTCCGTATTTCTCTCAATGTGACGATGAGAGGACGAACCCTATCGATATTCAGCATTCGGTGACCTTCTGTACCTTAATATATACCCCTCCCCGCCCGCCCCGCGAAAGCCTTGTTCACGCCATAGAAGGTTCATTTTACAATTTTGTGTGAAGCTTTGGGATCCTGAAATTTATTGATTATCAATGGTTAGCGGCCTTACGTTCCGGAGTTATACTTTCCATTCTTTGAAAACCTTGTTTTTTAACGGATTTTCGAAATTCAATGTTCAGCGACAAGGATGACCCTGTTATTTTTCAGGAATATAAGGTTTTCTGTTCCAGCGATATAACAAGAACTGAACACGATAGAGATTAGATTTCTTGAAGAATGCTAGATCCTTATTCAATTTATTAAACAACCAAATTTTGCTTTCGAATAATCTGCTGTTGAGGCATAGATGCTGCGTGGGCGTATCTCCACAGTTTGCGTGGCTATCGTTCAAATTTCTTTTGAATCATTAGTGTCATAAGCAGAAGAACCCTATTTATTTTCGGCGGAACAATGGGCCCTATTGATTTGCAGCGCTCCCTGGCGTTTTGTTATGGCGTTATTCGTATTTTCCGGTAAACCTTGTGAACGCGTTAGAGCCCAGAGTTTTTCAAGATGATTGAATTAAAAATCTGCTCCGAAGCATTTGTGCCACAGGACAATAAACTCTGTGTCTAGCTTTATTCTAAAACAAAATATGATCTGAAAACCATGCAAAAAATGACATTTTCAATTAAACGTCGCCCACACGTTAAACTGAAATAAATTTAACAAGCATGTCTATAATTCAAAGAGTCACACATTAAAGCTAACGGGGTAGGGTTTTGAATTTCATATTTGGTGTGAAGTATTGGGGTCATAAGACGATGAACCCTATCGATTTTAATCATATTTCAAATTCAATGTAAATCATGGGCGCCCTATCGATTGTCCGTTTATTCTTTCATTATAGATAGCAGTTTTCCTTTGTAACAAATATTAGAGTATTCTATTTTTATCAAATTTTGTGCGAAGTATTGGACCAATGGTTGCTTCAAACGTGGAGACACTATCATATAAGGTTTTATATTAACTCGGGATCTCGAGAAAATTTACATAGGATGTCAATATCTCGAGAACATTAACTCGAATTCTCGAGAAAATTTACACAGGATGTCAATATCTCAGGAAAATTTTCAGGGGATTTCGAGAACATTAACTTGAGATCTCGAGAAAATTACCAGATGATCACGGGATTTCGAGAAAGTATCAAAGGATCGCAGGATCTCGAGACCTTCTACAAAACTTTGCATGACCCCTATACGCTTCCGTACCAGTATACGCTTCCGTATTCTTTAATTAGTAATTGAAATATTTAAGTCAATATGAACCTTACTACAAATAATGAGTTTTGGCACAATTATCTAGCATAAAATTGAAAATAACATAACATAAATATACAGTATCTTACATGGTTTCTGAAATGTGCAGTTACTACGTCCTATGTAACAATGCACGTGCTATTGAAGGCAATAATCGACGCCGCGTGATGTGACGTCACACGTAGAATGCATGCGAACTTA